ATTTCGATATCTGAACTGACCTTAAGAAAAGCATTAAAAAACCAGGAGGTATTTGATATCTATTTTTCTATAGTATGGATATCTTACCTCTAGTGCGCATACGTAAAGTCAGAATCTTTAAGTCTCATCCTCTCAATAAGTTTAAAAGTTAATTGCTCTCTACTGAACATGAATATATTGGCTTTATCTTTTTGTGGGTTCGTATATCCATTATACTGATTGATATAGTAATACAAAACAGTGGCACTATGATTATCGAGCTAAGTCAGTCAGTCAGTCAGTTGCAACGTAGAACTTTGTACGTAAGTACATCAGTTCATGTTGCCATACCACATCAGCACAGAGATATAATTGTCAATTCAAATCCAATAGTAGAAGAGGTAGTAAAAGTATTAGGAGTAATCGGAGAGGTTAGGATTAGAAGATATTATTCAAGAAGTATGATTTAATGAGAAAAGTTTAGAAAGTTAAAACTAGAGTTGTTGAAGAACCCAGAAGATTAGGATTTGAGAGAACACAAAGAGTAGATGCACCTGCTCCATTGCAAACGGTTTTGAGCCATGTCATTCAAGGTCTCTAACCATCGATTATTATCATCTCGCAGACCCCAACCAGGTAGTCGAGCTAAGATGGATAAGTGATACAAACTAAAAAAAATCTCAAATTAAACAGCTTTCAAATAATCGAATTTATTGAATCATAATAGTAATTAAATGAACAAGATATAATTCAAGCTTTAAGCCGTTGGATTAGAAGTAGTCTTTTGATTCAATTTATTGTTAGGCTAACTTTAATCATTCTATTTAATTTATCCTTTTTGATTTAATAATAATATTTATAATACCTAGGTTTTTACTATAATCGATAGAATTCACTTTCGTTGCTATATCTTTATTTTTGTAAATACTTTGTTGTTTGCTGACGTAAGGTAATGACAAGTTTATGACATCACAATTGTCTATAAGTGATTGATAATGATCAATTGTTGTGACTGGATTTGATATCATCAACTAATTCCTTACAACGATAAGATATTTATTTACTACATAATATTACTGGTAAATAGTTCGACGAGACGAATAAAGGTAACCTTGAGAAACTTCAAGCACTTAATAGGTTTGAAACAAGATTATAAATTCGAGTAAAGAGTTAATTAAGCTTAGGATACAGTGTTAAAAGTAGGGGGCTAGAATCAAAGTTAGGATAATTAACACCAATCGACATCAATCATAATGGCGCTAGGATGTTAAACTTAAATGGATAAATGAATTTTGTGCGAACATTGAAAGGATGCTCTTTTAAATCCAACTGGTTGACCCAGAAATTAAAGTGATTTCCTACTCATTGGAGTTAAAAGAAATAAATACATGCATGAATTCAGGATGTTGGATGTGTAAAACACTACACAACAAGTAACATTTAACTATTCATCATAGAAATAGTTAATAATATTAATCATCACCAAAATTTGTTCACATCCTTTAAAATGTGACAAAATTAATGACTGAATTTAGAAAGATTCAAAATACGTCTAAGGATAGATACTACATCACCCGAAAAAACCAATCAAATCTCAAGGTTAAAACTATTCGAATATTAAGTGTCTACCAATGAAATTACAAGTTATTATAATTAGTTAATGAATTCATTTGGCATGACAGACAGACGTGGGCGTTTTTTAATCGTATTCCATGTTATTCACATGTGACTCGACAGATCGATAAGAAAAATAAATTCCATATTAGACATAATAGGCAGATATCTATTAAAAGTAACCAGTTGTCATCATCATGTTAAGAATTGATTATTACATGTTCAAGAGAAAAAAAAGAGTATTTCTAAATTCAGTAATAAATTACGTTATAGGAATAATTCAGTATTAAAATATGATTCAATCCTTATTTGTAATCATGAGAAAATGTATTTTCTTAGTTTATAAATATTAAGATTTAATATATTATTGCCAGTGGATTTACATATGTGTCTAGACAAAATTGAAATGGATTGATTAAACTGACATAGACAGACATTACTGTATTGGTTTTCAATTGTATTTTCTCTTTAATAAAATTTACAAAACTGAATTTTGGCGACATTTATCAGAAGAATAATAATACATGGAAGTCTTTTATTTCTTATTATGGATAAAAATCTTATACTGTAACTTGATTTTAATCGGTATAGAAATTGAGAGAAACAACAGTACAAGAAATAATCTGTTAAATTGTAACGATAAAAAAAATGATACATCAGTTTGATATACTGTCTTCTTTTAACTGTTTCTAAAGTATATCTAACAAGATGATAGGAGACGCCTTGTATACTAACACAAATTGAGGCTAGAGAAGATATCAATCTATGAAGTAAAACTATTACTTAGTCAGAATTAATTGATCTATAATTTCTGATTTCAACAGTTTCAGATGAATTTGGAACGAAAGTTCTAATCTAACTGGTTTCAATAGCTACTTACTTTAACGCTAAAATGGAAGTATATGTGGCCGACCAGAGAATTATTTTTCTGGATGAGGTCGCTAATCACATACCCAATCCTGGCTTCTCTATCCGGGCTTGAGATTGTCAGTAAGCTTAGAAGGGCTTCAGACGGAGTTCTTCAGTAGTTACTAACTAACTAAGTGAATTCAAACCATTATGAAAGGTATTTGTAAACTATAAAAGTCTCACCAAAACAAACTGAGTATATGTTCTTATAAAATTTCTAATTAAGCGCTTGAAACATTATTTCTAATATATAATGAAATGTAGATATTTTTGTAACTATTGGCCAGATGACAGTTAGCCACAGCAATTATTAGTTAGTGAAAGATTCGGACCTTGAATATGATCGAGTATTATAGTAGTCCAACTGCTAGAGTTCAATATCGCTCATATCAAAGTTATTATTTTGAAAATAGATGCTGAGTTTTCTTTCAATAAACTCAACGTCTGATGATTACAAGTATGAGTACTCAGTTTTGAGTCATATCTTCTAAGATGAGGACTGGTGTGAGTCAGTATGAGGTTCTGTTATATCCTTACACAAACCTATACTGCAGATGACCTTTTAGTAACCAATACACAACAACGAAGGCGGACTTGACTACTCTATGCTCGAACGATGGCCCAATACTAACTCCCCCCTCATTCGAAGAGGAAGAATAAAGACCAATTATTACCAGTCCAAGATTTCCCCAGTTATTATATTTTAGACATACATTTACAAACACAAAATATTCGACCACATCACACCAATAAATGGAAATTAACAGTCATACATAAGTGAGCCAAAAGTGGCTGGGGGGAGACTGTGAACAATAAACTAGCAACAGATTAAGAACAATAAAGCGCATACAATTATAAACTAGTTACTTAGTAATCATATAATTAGACTATATTCTACAATAATCTATTAAACTGAATCCTTAGGTTACTTACTGTATACTTTAGTCTTCTTTATCCCGAAAATAACATGTTCAAATCTAATAGTCGAGTGCTTTAGCCTATAACATCTTTTTGTCAATTTCAGTCATCAATTGTGTACAACTTTCTACTTACTGATATACTTATATTTAGAAATACATACTATTTATCAAATAATAATAATAATATACTAGTGGTTATAAGCTCATATATATGGCAAAATAACAATTAATATATATATATATATACTTAAGTTGTACAATGTAATCCGTGTGTAAACTTGTAACTTCATACTTACTTACTTTCTTACTTACTCCTGTTACCCCCAATCGAGCATAGGCCGCCCACCAGTTTTCTCCAACCAACTCTGTCCTGGGCTTCCCTCTCCAGTTCTGTCCAATGTTTGTTCATTCCTCTCATATCTTTATCCATTTCTCGGTGTAATGTATTCTTTGGCCTTCCTCTTTTCCTTTTACCTTGAGGGTTCCATGTGAGGACTTGTCTTGTGACACAGTTAGGTGCTTTTCATAATGTGAGTCTATCCACTAACTCCACCGCTTCTTCCTGATTTCCTCTTCCACTAAGAATCTGGTTTGTTCTCTCCCACAGTACGTTGTTACTGATGGTGTCTGACCAACGAATCCGAAGTATTTTGCGTAGACATCTGTTAATAAACATTGTATCTTCTGTATGATGGCTTTGGTAGTTCTCCAAGTGTCCGCTCCATACAATAGAACTGTTTTGACATTTGTATTGAAAATCCTGATTTTGGTTTTGGTTGATGTAACTTCATAGACACAATGATAATATCCCGGTTGATTGACTGCATATTATTGAAAACAGTCAATAACAACAGATACAATTAGAGAACTTATATAAATGGACAAGTTTAGCTGGTTGTGACTGATGGATATCCAGCTTCTATGTTAACTTTGCATATCAGGAATTTGCATCGATTGACTGTGATCCTCAAAATCATGAGAGTTCTTTACAAAGTTGTAAACTTGACTATAAATCTCACTGAGATTATTCATATTTGTCCATGAGATAAAAAAAAATCAGATAACATTCATTATTATCGTATAAAGATTATGTGTTTTGGTAAATACTTTCAAAGAAATGTTACAAATGATGTAGATGAAACAAGAAGAAAGTTATTATTATTATTATTATCTGAGAAATTTTTGCTAGAGATAAATATCAATTTAATCTTTGTATCAATAGGAAATAAATGATTGAGATAATTATAGAAATTTAAGAAAATTACATCCAGAATTTAAGGAATTATGAAGAAATCGTAGATAGTCATTTATTGACAACTCGTTTTTTCCGATTAAAAATAGAGGGGTGTGTGATCAGTAATGTCTAAAATGAATACGTTAATTTTATTGGCTAATTTCAAGGTTAACCAAGGTTACCTGTTCGCTTTTAGTTGGTTGATAATTTTAGCGATAAATTTTAGTTACTTAAAATAACAATGCGTTGGTGGAATAATTTCTATTGGTTACAGATGACTAGGTGTTATTCGGCAAGATAAATACGCGTTGAAGTGTAAATAATGTGCATATTAATAGGCAAGAATGCTAAGAACTTTAAACAGTAACATAATAGATTGGATGTTACCTACCGGTGATATTAAAGCGGCTTTCAATGATATACCAACTGGACATACTCCAACTAATACAACTGATGATAATTATAAAGATTTTTCTAAATGGGAAAATTTAAATACTCCAACACCACTTGACAAAGAATCTGATAATTATTTTATCTATCCACCAAATTCAGCAATAAAAGGTGAGTTCGTAATCCATCTTGAACTTACTTACGCCTGTTATCCCCAGTCGAGCATAGGCCACCAACCAGTTTTCTCCAATCAACTCTGTCCTAGGCTTCCCTTTCCAGTTCTTTTCAGTTTTTGTTCATTCTTCTCTATTTCTTGGCGTAATTTGTTCCTTGACCTGCCTCTTTTCCTTTCGCCTTGATAGTTCTATGTGAGGGGTTGTCTTGTGACTCAGTTAGGTGCTTTGAAGACTCATAGTTTAAAATAAACATTTATTTTTATTTATTTATCAAAAAAGTAATTAATTTCTTTTGCTTTTCGTTGATTTCTTTTTAGTTGAACCAATTGAACAAGAAGAAGAAGTAGAAAAGAATCTTCAAAGCCGTAATAATAATTCACAATTATTTGAAACACAATATTTAAAACCATTTACTAATTATAGAAATGATCAAACGCTTTACAATCGATCACAAATTCCATCATCTCCTATAATTTATTTAGATTTAGAATCATATCAAAATACATCGAATATTGAAGAATTAAAACCAGAAACTATAACATCATCATCAATGTTATCTCAAATGAATCATTCAATGAATAATAATTACAATTCCGATGTAATGTTGTTTAATCATCATTGGTCAACAGATTCTCTGTTACATTCAACAAAATGTTGTTCTAATTACACTGACTCATACCATAATACATATACCAGTATATCACAGACTCAAACATCATGGACTACATATCATACACATGATATGACTATCATTCCAACTACTGATCATAATAATACTACTAATAATAGTAATAGTGGGATGATTATCAATCAACAGGTAAATTATATAACTCCTGAAACAACAATTCCTACTTGTTCTACTACATTTACTATATCAAATAATAACAATAATAACAATCATAGAACAACACTAGATCATCATAAATATGATTTTAACCCATCTAACAATGAATATTGTTTTGAAACGACTATACAAACAAATTATCATTATAATAAACAGAATCAAAAATTATCAACAACAACAACAACCACAGATCAACAAAAACCATTTGTATGTAATATACAAAATTGTAATAAACGTTTTGTACGTATTGATGAGCTGAAACGTCATCAACGTACACATAGTGGAATTAAACAATTTATATGTGATATATGTAAAAAAGGATTTACACGAAGTGATCATTTAATGACACATCGTCGTACACATACAGGTGAACGACCATATGAATGTAAACTATGTGATAGACGATTTGCACGTTCTGATGAACGTAATCGTCATACAAAAACACATATGCATGATAAACCAAGAAGAGGACGTAAACCGAAAAATGAATCAAGCGGTAGTTTAACAATGAAAACAACAACATCCTTAACACCACCTACAACAATAACACTATCATCATCATCATCATTAACATCATCCTTAAAAGAAGGAATAATGGTAGTATCAACTAATTTTCCTACATATAATGTACATCCAAGTTATTCTATGCCATTGGATCATCATTTATCATTTACACATAGAAATAATAATGATAAACTTATTTAATTGTATAAAAGAAACATAGATAGATTCATGATATTCACATTGTGCTTCTCACTCTCCCAGCTCCCTTTCATTTTGTGTACAGTTAGTAAGTATCCTTCTATCCTCTCTCTGTTTCTCACCTATATATATATATATATATATATATATATATATATATATATATATATATATATATATAGAATTACACATTTAACAAGATAAAGAAAGAAATTTTGATTTCATGTAGATAACAAGAATTATCATCTTTTTGTTGATGAGTAGTTTTTATTCTATTAATAACATAAACTAATATATTTTATGCATTTCATATACTACTACTACTACTATTATTACTACTAAACAGTACTACTTACAAGCTTTATTCATATTTCTATTTAAATTTCAATAAAATTCATTCAACTGATTGATCATCAATCAATCAATCTTTCAAGAAGAAACTCTTAACACTTAGAACAATAATATATATATATATATATTTATACACATTTCAAATGATTTGATGATAACTTTCATTATTATGATTATTTTTTATTTCATATATAAATATATATATTACTTAATTAATAAATAAACCAAAACTCATTTGAAGTAAGTCTTTATTCTTTGTAATAATAGAGAAAAGTTGGGTTTTTGTTTCTTTCGATAATAAAGCATAGGATAATAGTGGTATTTTATAGAATAAATCAATCAATTGTGGTTTAAAACATTCTATTTAGGATTTGCTCATATACTTGATAAGGTTACATTGGGACTTTGTATTCAGTGCTTCAACAACATTAACACAGTTGAATAATTCAAAACTTGACTAAGCAACGCTACACATATCTAAAATAGTACTGTGCCTACTTCGGAAAACAGGTGATAAGGCGTATATAGTTAATTAAGTTACATACTAAAGTTAGGGCAAAATGCGTGGGTGGTGATGTATAAGTTGACAGTGTTGTTAATATTAGTGAGACGTTATATAGGTGAGTGACCTTGAAACTTCCACGCGTCTTGTCGACCAATCAGTACACAGATCACAAGATTAATTTTTCTTTGATAATTTTATGTAATTCAAACAATGCGTTCATAGTTTATAATGAATTTTTTCTATGATCTGGAAGTCGGCTGTTACAAAAAGTCAGTATATTGAGTTAGAAATACTTTTATAAATGATATTTATCATATTAATACAAAAAATACTGTATGGTCGATGTAAGGACATTTTTAATTAATGATTGTAAGATGATTATTATGATAGAAATATTTATATAAAAAATCGAATTATCAATATGTTCCTAATAGAATTTACAATGATTCTAAGCGTTTGAATCTTTAAATGAATGTACCACTTTCTACAAGGTGAATAAATATTACTAATACTTTTTAAGTTTTACGTGAATAAACCAAAAAACATCACTAGCTCATTCTTGATCAGTTCAATAGTACAATACTTGATATGTACTCGTTGTTCAAGCATCTAGTACTAGGTTTATTCGAAACTGTTATGTCGCGCAGCCTATTAGTATGGGAAAAACGTACATAAATATGAAGTTAGTTCTGGAAATCTTTAATGAAAAGGGCATTCCAATCAGTACTAGACAAATATGATATAAGTTGTGACGGACAGATAACGTTAATCATGAAAAGAGTAAAATGATTCAATATGACGGAAATATTATCATCTTCTTACACACATAGTAATCATAAACCAATCATCGTTAAACCATTATTAGAAACTTGGAAGCAATCAAAATTATGGACACCCCAGCACCTCTAAATAGAAATAGGGCAGAATTAAGTACAAGCTTGAGAATAATTTATTGACTAAAAAAAGTCAAATCAAATAACCATTGAGTTATCCGCTTATACTCAGCCAAAAGAAAAAAAAATCAAGCCGATAGAATTAACATCAGTTTTACTCAAGCGACGCATTAGTTAGTTAGTTAGGTAGGTACATGCAGGAATGATAAAGAAAACTGTTTTTTTCTTTTCTGTAATAATTGAATACGAATTCTTTTGAGATAAGATTATATAACATATACATACACATATTGAATAGGTAAAAATTTTGTTCACATCAGGATATTTGTTTGTATACAATGAAAAAAAAACAAACAACTCTCATTTCAAGACCGACAATCATGTATGTATGTTATCAGTGTACATCTATCTATCTCATGGTATTTTAATAACAAACAGAAATGTACAATTTCAAGCAAATCACAGGAAGATCATGTACACAATGAATGTTTCTTTTTGAAAAGAAATAATAATAGTAAAAATCCGATCGATATAGAGTTAAAAAGATAAACACGTCCACAATATGTCGATGATTCAAACAAGTTAAAAAAAACTAACATTCAAAAATATTGATTATTTGAATATCTATATATTGATTACGTGCGAATACAATGAACTCAATTACAATTTGGAATAGATTATCATTACAATAAGAAGATAAACAAGGAATACTGTTCCAATAGGTTGACATCCAATGCACGTGTGCGCATACGTGTGTGTGTGCGAGTATGTGTTTACACAATCAAGTTTACAATACACTAGTATTATCCATATCTGGGCAACCTTGACGCCATATCTCAGACCAATTTTGTTTACGAAGTCGTTGTATCAATGTTTCTAATTGATTACGTGTATTATTATCCAGCAAATTGTAACAAGCCTAAAGAACAGAAAAAAACACATACGTACAATATCACATGTAGGAAAGACAAGAAAATGAGGAAATAATTGAATGAATTTTAGAAAAAAAATCACCATTAGAAACCTAGAAGCACTGAAAGACGACCGCTTCGTTTTGGTATGGGACTCATCATCAGCAGTGCACATCCACAACTCCTGCACCTTGCAGGATTCGAACCCAGGACCTTTGGTCTTGTGCGTGAACGCCTAACCTCTGGGACTACTGAGCCAGTATCTAACGATGTTAATGTCTAACTTCAATCAATTCACGGAGTTGCGCAATCTTATATACACTGTCTTCACCCGAACAAGTTGAACTTCACTAGTAACGACTTCACACTAGAAGTCGGAGAAGTGTCTTCACGGAGCTAGTCACTAGTGAGCACAGGTAGTTGCATTACGGGGTTGTGAAGATTGTTAAGTTACACATTTGAAATCATGAATCAATCAATGTTAGATCATCATTAGAAACCCAGAAGCACTGAAAGATGGCCGTTTTGTCCTGGTATGGGACTCAACAGCAGTGCTTCCAGGTTTCTAATGGTGGTCTAACATTGATCGATTTATGATTTCAAATGTATAACTTAACATTTTTCACAACCCCGCAATATATATTGGCAAGTGACCCCGAGAAGAAATCCCCAATCAGTTACAATCAATGAAGTTCCATAAAGTATATGTTGAGGAAAATACATATTGTTAAATGATAAATGACGCTATCCGATATCAATTGAAATGGGAACTCAGTGGTGAAAAAAACAAACAAACACATTCATCGTAGTGAAGCCTTAAAAAAATGTTTGAAACAATCAACCCAATGGGGATATCCGCTAATTTATGCATGTTGCGTTTTTCCGCGTTTTTAAACTTTTATTTTTTTTTCGCAAATGGCTACACACATTATGTTGTCATCGCTTACAATATTATATCTCTTATTGATTAATTCAATCATGTAAATATATTTGCTTGAATAAATGATTGTAATGACTGTTAATATATTAAATAAAATGATATTTTATTACTTTTTATTATTAATTAATTAATTAATTAATTAAATAACCGAGAGAGAACAAAGTAGAAAAAAAAACACCTTCTCACACAACCTTACACAGTATATGCGTGGGCGGTGAGTGGTATGGGGAAATAAGAATTTTGCTGATTGTTAAATTCTATTGATGTGATGATTAAAGTATATGGGAATGAGCAGCAAACACTACTAGTAGTAGTAGTGGTGGTGAACAAAAGTAAAAAATTAACTAAAGAATTCTATCCATTCGGTCGTATTTTGAACATGTTCGTTTATAACAGCGTGTACACACAGACACACACACACGCTGGATGACATGTGCGTCTGTTCAGATGTTTGTCTCTGTGTGTGTGTGTACATGCCGAAAAATAAGAGATAAAGAGAAAAAAAAATGGGCAAAACAAGACAGGACAGAACAGAACAACAAAACAAAACTATGATTATGTGATTACATAATGATGATTTGATAAAAAGAAAGAAATAAAAAAAACAGAAGTGGATTATTTTTTTTTAACAGATAGTAAAAGAAAACAAACAAACAAACAATAGTGTTTACTTTTCCTTCACTGTTTATACAATTTACTGACCAATAATATTATAATTTATTCATATGATTTATTAAGAAAAAATTTTAGTCGACTATTTTGGGAATAATAATAATAATGACGCAAACCTCCAAAACTGTGCCCCAATATAATGTAACAGTGCTCACTAGTGACTAGCTTCGTGAGGAAATTCTCGGAGTTCTAGTTGAGAAGACGTGACCAGTGGAGATCAACCCTGTCGGGTGTAGGCAGTAACTACCAAAGACAAATGGGTGAGGTCGCGCAAAATCCCTAGATCAATCAGAGTTAGACATTGACACCGTTGGATGCCGGCCCAGTGGTCCGATGGTAAGGCGTTCGCCTACAATGCCAAAGGTCCCGGGTTCGAATCCTGCGAGGAGCAGGAGTCGTGGATGCGCACTGCCACTGATGAGTCCCATACTAGGACGAAACGGCCGTCCAGTGCTTCCAGGTTTCTAATGGTGGTCCAACAATGATGATTGATTAATGATTTCAAATAATGACAATGATAAAGTTTAGCTATAAAAATAATACTCAGATAGAACATGATTTATGTGTTTGTTTGCTGAATAGTTGCAGTAAGTACATGTACCGTGATATGCTTGAACGCTATTACGAGTTCACCTTACTCGGTAAACAAGAGCGAAGACAAGTGATGATGCAGTGACACGATAGGCCATTCTAATCCGTTGTCCTAGTTCACACAGCTAATTAGATCAAGAAGTCTTGATAAGACGTAGAGAATGTATTCGACAAGCACCCATTAAAGACGAGGAGTCTGAGCACATAAATCAAGCTTATTTATACAATGATAGAAACGTCCTTGGGAGAGCCACATAGTAGCGCCTTAAAATAATCCACCAACTGATGACAGTCAACGATTTCTCGAGTGGAAAATGTAAGCTCAGGGTCAACTAAGCGTCTTATACGCGAAAACATTAAAAAAATTCAAAATTAGGATTTTTTCCAAGTGAGTTCTAGGGATCTAACGTCCCCAACACACCATCAGTCAGCTAAAACGTAGAACTTCGTACACACGAACATCAATTCAGGTTGCTATAACACAGAGAGATCGAATTTTTAATTCAAATCCCATAGTGTTAGAGGTAGCAGAAGTATAAGTAGTAATCGGAAAGATTAGGGTGCGAATACATTATTCAAGAAGTATAATCTAGTGAAACAAATTACAGAGAAACATAGAGGTGATAAGGAATTTAGAAGATTACAATTTGGTGGATGCACCTGCGCCATCGCAAACAATAATTTTGAGCCATATCACATTTTCTTGCATACCCCAAGCTGATAGTCGATACTTATTAACATGGTTCAGTCCACTTGTCATTGACTTCATGGATTTGTGGCATGTTTTAATTTGGCCGCCCCTAGCTTTCTTCCAAACTACCCCCCTATACCATAAAACATAGCTCGTCGAGGCCGTCGACGGTTGGGCATACGTAACACATGTCCCAATCACCTCAAGAGATGAAGTTTTAATACTTCATCTATTGATCTGTCATCTTTACCTAGTACTCATTTTGTAACAACTGCATTGCTTACTCGGTAGTCCTACGATAAGTAAAACACCGACAATAACACCAACAGATTATTAAAAATCTTGATTTCAGTTTAACTATTAAGTAGGAAAATAAAACAGTCGAACACATGGATCTGCAGAAATTTCTGATTTGCTGGTGCTTACTCAACGATACTGTCTCTACTCTCACGATCAAAAGAAACAAGTACATGAAACAATGTGACTGACAATGAGAAATTATTACAACTTTAAAAGGTATTCACTCATCCAATCAGTATCATTATCATTTTACAAGCTCTTTGATGTATTCTCCATGTTCTGATCAAGTAGAATAATTTTAAATCAAAATTTATTATAGGTCGTCTATTATAGCCTTGAAGCTTTTAGGAACCTGTTCCAGTTTAGACAATGAAAAATACTATTCAACTCATCACACACATTTATTAACAATAATATGTGTGAATAAAAGTTGGACAAAAATGCATTGTGTTTAGCTAATACTAGTAAGTTACATTAAGACAATAATAATAATAATAATAATAACAACAATAATTAGTAATTTATTGAATAAATGAATAAGACTAAACATTTATTATGATGATCATCATAACTAAGCCTCATCTACGTTTATCTGCATCCCTACATATTTGCATGATAGGGTTGTGGAGATGATTGAACTTTTTGAAATCATGAATCAATCATCGTTAGACCATCATTAGAAACTTGGAAGCAGCCGTTTTGTACTAGTATGGGACTTATCAACAGCGCACCTCCACAACTCCCGCCAGTCGCGGGACTCGAACCCAGGAGCTTCAGTCTTGTGCGTGAACGCCTAAACCGGTATCTAACGCTGTTAATGTCTAACTTCAATCGATACACGGTCTTGCGCAACCTTACACAATGTCTTTGAAGAGCACTTCTTTACACCTGAACAGGGTCGGACTCCGCTGGTCACGAATTCCCTCTAAAACTCGGAGAAACTTCCTCATGGAGCTGGTTACTAGTAAGTATATGAACATCATTAAATTATGAGTAGTTTAAAGTAGTCTAATTGTTGTTTTCGATTAAATGCCAATTTTGAAATGATTAAAATAATCAAAATCGTGATTCAATAAAAGTGTTGAACATTATTTTATTTTACAAATATTAATTATTTGATTGAATAAAATAAATAATCTAGTATTTAGTGAGAATAATTTTTTTTTCTTCTTTAAAGACCTAGAGTGTTGTGGTTTCTTGAAATGGTGCAGACAATTTGTAGCTTAGGTGGATGATTATGGTAGTGTTGCGTTGTCTGACAGGTTCAAGGTCAACAACGCAACCAATCCAGATTGAGGTTAGCAAAAACAAGCTACAGGTCAAACGTAGAGAAATTCGAATGGTTCACAATCTGCTATCATCAGCTGATAGTGTTGATGATGTTGTTCAGAAGAAGAAGAAGAATGAAAGCTTCATAACCAAAAAACAAAATCCAGGTCATCGAGAACAAAACACCACCACCATATTGACATAACAAAACATCATGAAGGTTAAGATTTGAGGCAAATAATAAAAGCATACAACCAAAAATAAAATTTAAATTGCACATGTAGTAAAATTTCCCTGATACAACACACAAGATGATAGATAGTATTTCTCAGCTAATATTCAATTAAATTCAATAAAATAACAGAAATTTTTATAATCAATATCAAAAAAAAAAATTCACATTTCACTAACTTGTAAATATTCAGAATTTAAGCTATCATCATTATTTTTATTTTTTGGAGCATTTAAACGACATAATACAGCTAATGCTGTTTCACTACCAAGTCTTACTGCACTATTTTTATCTTTTATTCCATTGAGTAGGATAATTACAAATGAACATAACCATGTACACATTGGTAATTTGACATGCCATGCAATATAACTAGATATCATTGTAGATAATAGACGCATATCGATTACCGGGTGTTCAAAACCCTATTTTTATAGGAGATGAAAAGAAAAGAAAAAAAATTTGAAAATGTAATGTTTGAAGTAATTAATTGTGTACTATATAATCAGATTAGAAAACGATCTATGATTACAGTAGAACAGAAATAAAATGTAGTGAGTGTACTATACACTACAACGACAGTAAACATATATACACATATAGCAAGAAATAAAAAATCTTAAACATGTTAGCTTTAGCTTGAAAATATTAACTTCTCAGTATGTAACTATATGTGAAGAAAAAACTAGTCTGTTCACTTTATGGTTGAATATTACACATTTTATAAAGGACTGGTGTGGTGCGCGCTACTTATAAGTAGTATATGACGTGAGTGTCAACGTAATGTCTGGCAGCAGAAGATGGGGGAAGATCAAGAAGAAAGGAAGAGTGGGAACACAATGGAATTTGTATGAAACGCATGAATAAGTGAAATGTCAGATGATGGATTGAAGATTTGTAAATTAACCGTTTACGATATGGTTTTCCTAATTTACTGAGTAACTCTGTAATTTGCGATAAACACAATTCGGTTGCCTTCACTTGTGTTCTCGGTTTGAAATAATTCAAGATAAAACAAAATTAATTTGTTTAAAATAAGAATCTTTTGAAATGCTTCATTAATGTTCGTCATAAGCGTGAATTTTTTTCGATCAACCAAATATAATTCAGATTTTCATAAATGAAAAATCACTTAACGTTTATTAGGACTAGATGTTAGTAGCTGATAAGTACATATGTAAAGCGCCGAAAACATTGATGGAGTGCAATGAATACAAAATTACGACTTTTTTTTACATTATCAAAAAAAAACACCCGAGCTGGACAGAAATTGTCATATGAATGAAAAATAAAATAAAAATTCGATATCGTAATCAACTTGATTCCACCTGACTATTGGTTAAGGAAGTGTGAGTTAACTGACTCATTTTTCTCGGATCTTTTATCAAAACAATATTCGCAAGATGAAAAATGAGTAGAAATTGATTATTGCTGATAAACTAACTTAAAAATTAATAATATTTAGTAAGAACTTTTAATTTTTTTTGACGGTTGGAACTCGTCAAGTCTCTGAAAGAAAAGACACCATTACGCTCCGTCCTTATTTACAAACTTAAAAAAATCTTTTGAAGGTAAATCACGTGGTTGGTTATTTGGAATTTCTTATCCAACTTGCATTACGCATGCATGGTCCGTTATTATAATGAGTTCGAAGAACAGACAACTCAAATAATTTATTAGTTTAAAATAAACTACTATCAAGTAATTCAGTAGACAGAATATTTTACCACCATAAATATCAATGTGCAAATATTACCTTTCCGAGCAGTTCCATTAATCCTTTAGGACTATAATTCACTTCATGTTTCTCTGTTAGATAACCAATAAAACATCCAATGCAACGGTATCCAATTTGATAAATAACAGACTAATTATGTAGTGTGAAAAAAAAACAAATAAACAATATCAGTGAGAAAGATCACAATGTAACGAACATAACGACAATCACATGATAATGGTTATAGTAGTCAGTTGTAATAAGATTCACTGAAAAAGTAATTATTCAAAAGATAGAGGATAATTAAGTGAATGGTATTATTGACTGCTTGGTTAATATTCAGATAAAGCACAATAAATATACATTAGATAGAGAGACAATTAGCAATTATTATTATTATTATTATTATGGAACGTATACACAGTTTTTAGCAAATAAAAGAAGCCAATTCACCTTAGACAAAAAGTATACTGAAAAATAACATACGACTATATATATACATACATGTACAGAAGAAATTTCGCTACAAATTAGTGAGAAATAGCTACTATAAGTTGGTGTGTAATTTATTTACTCTATCAGATAATTACAGCAGATGTAAAAAAAGTAGTAGTAGCAAGAAAAAAACGCTTGCCCTTTTTTAAGTAGTGTAGTGTGACTGTAAAATAAAGTTTCTAAGTCATATGAGCCGGTGAAATATGTGGGTTGTCACATGGTGTAGTAACAGTAGCCACAGTATCAGAAGTAGTAGTGTGGTGTGAGCTACTTATAAGTAGTATATGACGTGAGTCTCAACGCAATGTCTGGCAGCAGAAGATGGGGGGGAAGATCAAGAAAGGAAGAGTTAGAACACAATGGCATTTGTATGAAACGCATAAAATAGTGACAATGGATTGATGTTTTTTTCAACAGGAACAGTCCAGTTCGATATCATGATGAACTGATATTTTGCAAATGAACGATTTACAATATGGTTTTCCGATTTTACTGAGTAACTCTGTAATTTCCGTTAAATACAATTCGGTTGCCCCACCTGTGTTCTCGTTCACTACAATACAATATTCAACTTTGAATCATCATCTATAGAAAATGATGTGTTGTTTAAAATGTCGCATAGACTTATATTTGTATACAGTAATATAACTAATCAAAATGATCTCTCATTCATTTTTATTTAATTCTAAATGAAAGAATTTACAAATAATATTAACTATTGTATTGTATAACAACAATATTTTAAACTAATTAATTAATTAATTAATTTTGAATTATTTGGTTGGTATGTTGTAAGTGAAAATTGGACATTGATAATAATATAATAGTTTAATATGACAACAGCTATTTTCAAATAAAATTTCAAAATAAAAACTGAATATACAATTTATTCTTTGAAATTTAAATGGTTTGACAACTAATTAACCAATGTGTGTATTATTATTATTACACGAGCACAAACACGCACACATAGACTAAGAAGAAGTAAGTGGTGCAGTTAGATCATTCAGTAATTATGAGAAGTCTGAGGCAGGCGCGGAAGATTGTATTATGCAAATTTACACTCTCAGTCAATTAAAAACGAAAACATTACATTGAACACTCTATTTGCACACCATCTTTGAGTCGTGACTTCCAACGCTCCATCCTTCTTCCATTCCTGCTGTTGCTTCCTTTACTTCCTGTTGGTACTCTATTTATTTCTTGCTTTTGCTCCATTTGCTTTCCGTTTTCCTCTTGTGACCGTGAGACTTCTTCTTTCACGTCCTTTCTTATACTACTTATATCGTTCGTATAAGTAGCACACACCACAATTACAAATTGAATAATAATAATAATAATAATAATAATAATAATAATAAAACTTACATTTTCATGAATGCATAATTGTTTAATGAATTGTCCTAGTCGATCACAAAAACCAGATTGTATTGTTTCGGAATTAATCAAAATATTTGGTGTATGCTTTAATGGGATTAGAAGAGCAATACCTTGACTTTGATTAAATGTCCATTGTTGTACATCTAAAAAAGTCGGGGAAAAAAATTACAAAGAAAACTTAAGTGGAAATCTCTTTCATTCTCTTGTTAGTAGATAATCACTCTATAACATCAAAAGCAGTGATCAAACTTGAAGAAATAGTGGAAAACACACAATTATTGAATGCATGAACCGAAATCAATATGCTGTGTATTTTAGTGTGCTATTTTCTTAACTGTCCCAAGGACGTTTCTATGATGTATAAATAAACGAGAGATGTATGCTTGATTGCAGTGTGATTGCTGGATGTTTGTAGAATATACTTTCTACGCTTATCAAGACTTCTGTTTTACCGTTTGGATTCACGGTAGCCTACTTGGACGTTGGTTCATTGTCTCGTCCGCGTTTATCGACTAAGGTGAACTCGTAATAGCCTCAAGCATACTTTGTGACGAACCCAAGACTATAAATCAATAAAACAACTATCAAGTAAAATAGAGGTTACTGTGAACTATTCTCAATTGAAAGCTTGACCTAACGATTAACAACTGTTCGAAAATACAGTAAGATTATTTATTTTGTTCTTACAGAATAGAATAACGAGCCACTAACGTCAATCATTGTGAAGTCAAATGATTAGATAAATTTTTGATAATTTGTGGTGAAATATTGGAATTTTCAATTCAGTCACGCAAAATCCCCAGATTGATCAGAGTTAGACACTAACACCACTAGATGCCGGCTCAGTGGTTCCGAAGTTAGGCGTTCGTGCGCACCACCAAAGGTCCTGGGTTCGAACCCTGCCAGGTGCAGGAGTCATGGATGCCCACTGCTGATGAGCCCAATACCACGACAAAGCGGCCGTATTTCAGCGCTTCCATGTTTCTTCTAATGGGGTATGGTCTAACATTGATCAATTCATGATTTGAAAATATGTAACTGCACAATCTTCGCAACCCCATATAATGAAATAGTTTCTTATCAATTAATTAATTATATTACAGTATTGTTGATTGAAAATTCAATCATCCATAGTATTTTTTGTTTGAACTGATGTGAATCAATAATTACCAATTCGAAAACAAAACAAAACAAATCATTCATGTACAAAGTGTAAACATAAGTTCTTATGAGTTAAAAATTAGTATATGTATATTTTCAAAATAAGCTAAAATAAAATAAAAAAAAACTACTAAATTTAGAATATTCTAAATTTGTAAGTAGCAATATTTGACCAGCTGACTATATACTTAAGTAATGAGTTTAGATAATATGAGTTAAATTTAGAAAAACACTAGAAAGTTCTAGTTTATATTTATTTATTTTTTTCACAAAATTGAAAACAAATTGAAACAAAAACGTGCGCATACGATGATGATGATGATCACTAGTTCTGTTGAATGATATTGATTGATTCAAGATGACTGAGGATTATTACATGTTATGAAATTAACAAGATGTTAGGATATTCATTTCAATATCCTAAGAGAATTATTTTGTAAGTTTAATTCTGTTGGTCAATTCCTATTGGTTGTCCTAACTGTCAATGTCACATACTTCAAATGTTGTTTCCTATTCGACCGAACTGTATAAATAGGCATTGTCTGTAATACGTTTTAGGATTCGGATCCTTAGTCCGGGATCTTTACCTCCTTCTGGAATCGGACCTCATACTTTCTAGACGTGTGAAGAATACACTTTCAACGCCATATCAACTTTTCTTCTTCTTCTTCTACTTAATGGCGCCGGGTTGGGACGTTTGGATTAGAGTAGCCTATCGTGTTGCCGAATCATCGATTCTGGCTCTCATTTACCGACTACGGTGAACTTGTAATAGTTCAAACATATCAATTGGCATGGTGAAGCTGCATCGTAACACAAGAATAATGAATAAAAAGTCAATGTTGAGGCCTACAGCTAATAGCAATAATAATAATAATAACAATGATTATAAACCAATAACGAAAACAATCTTTCAGCATGTTGTAATCGAGTTTGTGTCTATTTCTCATCAGTCAACAATGAACTACTCCATATAATGAATGTAGACAACATTGTGCACGAAAACTCAGGCGAGGACATCAACATCCTGAGAGTTCCAGTTTCCATCTCTTCGTCCATAATGTCTCGGACCCTGATGATCCGGATCATCCTGATTGTCGAAGTCTCGATTTGAATTGAATGGCATCCCACGACCGTGACCAAACATTCCTCTTCCTCTGCCCCTCCCACGTCCTCTAGGTTCGAAACTTGGCCCTCTAGGACCATTCATATCAATCTCTGGCTCTTGGGGCGCATCAGTTGGAGGCATCCGAGGACCCTGTCCTCTGCCCGCACGCATCCCTCAAGGTGCTCCCCTACCTGAACCTCGGGCACGCACAAAAGTACCAATTGGTTCGTCAGGCCTCTTTGCAGATGTGATCTGTACGTCCTCAATTGGCGCCAGGGGTGGCTCTGTAGAGTTAGGAGTTTTCGATAACCAAGAACCTTTATGGGTTGCAGTCTCAACCTTCACTTCATTCTTTGTTATTGTATCGACCTTTACAGGCGCCACTTGCTGCTGTTGCACATGAGGCTTATCTTTTTCGATCTTTTCAGCTCGTTTACTTTGCAACTTGGATAACAAAATATCCGGGTCCTCACTGTTCAGATTGTCATCCAGAAACAGTGAGAACCTGCTCTTCACTTCCACAGAGTACTGATAAACGTGGTCAACACCAGTCATGTCTACAGAATAGACTACACATGGACCGTCAACATGATCACTGAAAAGGACTAATAATGTCAACATCATTTTAAATAGTTAACTAGGTTGTTTATTCTTAAAAAAAAATTATGATAACACTCATTATTTCCTTTACGAAACAAACAAACAAACAGAAACACCAATTTCAATTAAAACATACTTTGTTTAATCGACGACATAAGGCATAGTTTTTGTTCAAATAAATTAATTAATTCAATTTTTTTCGCCATTTTCTCATTATTATCATTTAATGTTGTACCATTGTCAATAGTGGCTTGTGCAGCGACTAAAACAAATCCTATACATGATGAAATGATTATACGTATTTGATCAGAATTAATTGGCATTTGTTTTGTTTGATTAAATGATGATCCTAAAATATTTTCTTGTTGATCATCATCATCATTGTCTTCTTGACTATTATCATCATTACCAACCATATTATTGTTATTATGTCGATATGTTGTTGTTTCTAATCGACGTTCAACGTTATTATTGCTTGAAGATTCTGGTAAATGCATTAATGGAATTAATAAATGAAATATTGTATTTAAAGCTGATAGGCTAGCACGACCTTTTGAATGTTCTAGACAAATACGTAACGCTTGTAAACTTGTATCACTAGGTAAATAAATAAATATACAGCATAAATAGAGAAAAAGTAAAAGTAAGAATTGAAGCAAAAAAAAACGATAGTACAAAATATATGCGAAAATAAATAAGCTGATTAAACGTGTATTTATTATTATTATTATTATTATCGTTGTTCGTTCAGGTTAAATGTGATAAGGTCAGAACAAAAAAAACTATCAATCAATCCATTTCATGAAGTCACTGACTATTGATTGATCAAAGTTGTCATTGCAGATTTTGGAAAATGTACAAAATTAAGAAAGCAGTGAAACTGAACAAAATCAATTACAATGGAATAGGTGATTTTTATTTCGAATCCACTGATTTGTAAATAGTTACTTCTACAGATGTCCATTGTAATAATTAGTATATATTCATAAAATCTTCACTTTTTATTCGAGTGCGAACTTGAAATTATGAATGTTACATAATAGAGTTTTGTATGAGTACGTTGGTTTTAGTTCATTTTGAATTCTACACTTATCGATTGGTTAGTGTAGGAGTAGATTGGAAGAAAGTTAGGGGCGGCCAAACCAAAACATGGCAGAAATCCATGAAATCATTGACGAGTGGACTTAGCCATGTCGGTAATTGTCGACTACTTGGTTGGGATCCGTGAGATAATAATAATCGATGGTAGAGCCTTGATGGCTGAAAACCATTTGCGATGGCGCAGGTGCATTTATGCTTTGTGTTCTCTCAAATCCTAATCTTCTGGGTTCTTCAACAACTCTAGTTTTGACTTTCTAAACTTTTCTCACTGAATCATACTTCTTGAATAATATCTTCTAATCCTAACCTCTTCGATTACTTCTAATACCTTTACTACCTCTTCTACTATTGGATTTGATTGGACAATTATATCTCTGTGGTATGGCGACATAAACTGATGCACTTACGTACGAAGTTCTACGTCGCATCTGTCTGTCTTAAAATACTCAGCGCTTTCAATCAATGACATAACAGATTTAAACTACATTCTATATACTTCAGTTTAGCTTGTTGATTTAAATCTAAGTATAAAAACAAACTATAGTTAGGCAAAAATAAGTTAAGAATACAATTTGTATGATATTATAAAAGTTTATCATCAACATATATACATATTCGAACACTTTAAACACAATAATAGAAACTCCTGTGTTTAATCAATAAAACGGAAAATATCCTAACAGGGCATTAATTAATTTTAACAAAAATATAACAGCAGCTGTATTCAAATTATAAGTTTAGTTTATTAATTCGGATTTACCATACAATGTAAAAATGTGAATGAACAACCAACTATGCTTTAAATATTTTTTATACTTATCGAAGATGAATCATGTTTTGGGATTAAATTCAATTATAGTTGTATTCAATACATTGAATTATATCAATTGTAAAAGATAATGACACTATCTATCTTGAAAATAATTTCAATAGTGTTGGTTGGTGGTTAACATGTCAAGAAGAAGGTTACTCAATAAAAATAAGTAACCTCTGATTATAAAATGTTATTCACATAACATCTTTCACTGACTCTTTCAAATCAATGACCTTGAATTGTGTTTCATGCAAACAAAAGATCTTCAATGAGGTAGTGTGTTTGTATGAAAAAAAGTTAAATGAAATTTAACGAATGCCTCAACAAATAATCAAAATTTCACTAATCATATTTTGTTTTCAGAAGAACCAAAGACAGATTATAATAACTAAGAAATGTTTTTTTTATACAAAAATCATTTTTATGAATAAATTTTTGAATTATAAATAACATTGTGATATTGAAAAAAATAAACGATTAACTAGACAAAGTGTGTATGTAATTTGTTTGTTTCGATTTATTGAATTCTTAATGATTCTAACAGGTTGTACAGTCTTGTTTTAAAGGTTGAATGTACTACTACTACGACTATGACTACAACTACTAAGGCATAATGACACATTCCAAAACTAGACAAATACATCAAAAGAAAGTTTATCAATATATATATATATATATATCTCGGCATTGACAAGCAAACAGGTAATTTGCTATGTGTACTAGTAGTGCATAAAGAATATTTTTTTTAAAAAAAAAAGTGACTGGACAGAGAAATATCAACAAGAGACAAGTGAATGAGAGAGAGAAACACAAAAGTGTGTTGTAATATAAGAATAGAAAAGATATCGTGAGAAATTCACTGTGAGATTTTAAAACACCATGAGATGTAAATTGTGTGACGAAATGTAGTGTAAGCCGTAGAAGCTTGCTTATTTACTTACTTACGACTGTTACCCCCAAATGGAGTATAGGCCGCCCACCAGTTCCCTCAAACCAACTCTGTCCTGGGCTTCCCTCTCCAGTTCTGTCCAATGTTTGTTCATTCCTCTCATATCTTTCTCTATTTCTCGACGTAATGTGTTCCTTGGTCTTCCTCTTTTCCTTTTGCCTTGAGGGTTCCATGTGAGGGCTTGTCTTGTGACGCAGTTAGGTGCTTTTCGTAGTGTGTCCTATCCACTGCCACCCCTTCTTCCTGATTTCCTCCTCCACTGGAATCTGGTTTGTTCTCTACCACAATAGGTTGATTATGATGGTGTCTGGCCAACGAATCCGAAGTATTTTGCGTAGACAACTGTTAATAAACACTTGTATCTTCTGAATGATGCCTTTCGTAGTTCTCCATGTTTCCGCTCCATACAGTAGAACTGTCTTCACATTTGTATTGAAAATCATGATTTTGGTTTTGTTTGAAAGTTGTTTTGAGTTCCAGATATTTTCAATTGTAGAAGTGCAGCCCTTGCTTTACCGATTCGCGCCCTCACATCTGCATCGGATCCACCTTTCTCGTCGATGATGCTGCCCAGATATGTAAAGGTGTTAACGTCCTCCAAGGCATCTCCATCAAGAGCCGTAGAAGCTGTTTAGCCCTGAAAAAAAAACTTCTCAACGGTGTACATTGATATTTCACAAAGTCGAACTTAAAGTTTTAAGGCTTTAAGGTAAAAAATCATATTTTTACGATCGTTCCTACATTTTCCTACAGTACAGTGAAAGAGTAAATGAACAAGTTAAGTAGTAAATTTCAACTATGATGGAAAGCCAGACATGAGGAATGTGATGATAAAAAAAGGTGGATGAGCTGAAATACGGAGATTTATTAACATAAATATGTAAAAAGAGGAAACCACAGTGTCTAGTTGTAGGAAATGTTGAGAAAGCAATCAGTTGACACTTACGGAAAAGATGCTACACCAGCTAATGTGTGTGCAGTTGCGGACACACCTGATTTAGGCATTGAACTTTCCATATCATTTAATTCATCTTCTAAATAATCATGAAAACGTGATACAACAGTTTCAGATGATACTCTAGCCAGATCAATTAACAAAGGATCAAGTTTTGGTGTAATAGGAACAATTGATGATAAACCTTCACCACCAAGTATTCTTGTTTGTCTATGTGAATCTCCGAGACATTTTAAGAAAGTTGATTGAAGTTGTGTAACAAATGGACGAACAGATTGTGGACACTGAAATAAATAAAATTTAAGTCGACAAATGATCGATTATAATATTTTGTTGTAGTAATAAAAAGAATAAAATATCTTTTAATCACATAGCTTTAATGAATCACAATAATATAAGTTATAGAATACTGTTTAAGAAACTAACTTTATTCACAAGTGAAGTAAGTGATTGTAATACAGCAACACGAACCACATTTGTCTGACGTTCACCCAGTAAACGAATGAGAGGACCAATGACTTTGATAATACAGCCTTGAAGTGCTATTCCATTTGAATGAAGTATGCATTCGGATAATCCTTGTGCTGAAGGTTCTTTAATCGCAGGACGACCACGGAGTGTACATTCAGCATATAATTTAACTAAACTAACAAGTGGTAAAGTAGGATCTGAAAATCCCGGTAAATATTTTTGAACTTCATTTTTATTGCCAGCTGCTGATTTGTTCATCTCTGATATAGCACCACGAATACCTTGACGAAGATCACCAATTTGGGAAGTAATTGTCTCGGGATTCCAACGCTATAACGGTTAAACAAATACTAATTATGGAAGGTTGAGAAAATTTCGTAAATATTTTGAACTACTCATTAGTAGTTCAAATAAAATTCACAAGAAAACATCTCGAATGTATACACGAGATTGAGTAGAAAAAAGATAACGTTCCCTGTTATTCGTATGAAAATCAGCTCTACAATTAAGGATTAATCATTTTGAATGAGAGTTATAACTATCAAAGATGAATGAAGACTAATTTTCTGTGATATAAAAAGTATTTATCACAAACGCATTAAAAGAAACTACAACTATTAGGATAAGTTTCTCTTCTTGTAACAAAGAATTCAGGGCATTAATAACGATAAAAACACTAACTTTGAACAGTGCTTCCAAACATTTCCATGCTTCCGATAAAGTAGTTTTGTCAGTAGAAGCCAAAAGACGACAAATATTACGAAGAGCAAGTGGATAAGTTTCATTCAATACTCGACTTATTACTTCTTTAGCATCAGGATTCTCTTCCAGTTCATCATCGTCGTTATCATCATAACTATCATGGTCATCATCATCATCTGTGTCCGTATCATCGTTGTCACCAGAATCTTCATCAGAATTAAACGAGCCATCATCATCTTCATCTTCAAGATCATCATCATCATCATCCTCGTCCTGGTCGTCGTCATCTGATTCTTCAGTTTCATTTTCATCCGAAGATTCTTTATTTAAATTAGGCTTCACAATAGGCATTACAACATCAGAAGGATCTTGAAAACTAGCTTCAAGATAGGCACGCAGTAAACGTAAACAGGCAATTCGATATACATTAGAGCCGGGAATAAGTTTATATTGTGTAGTGGTAATATTATTGGTGGTGGTTTCATCAATTGTTGTTGTAACATTGGCCGACGACAAACCGGTTAATAATTCATTCAATATTTGACGAATTCCTGTAGCTTCATAAATACATACAAGTACAGCAGCACAATGTTCTAAATCCTAAATTTAAAAAAAATAATAGTCAAAAATATAGCTTTTAGATTACTTTAAATACAGTAGTATATTGTATAAAATAGTAGTGGCAAATATTTTTATTTAATCTGAATTAATACCGTTCCGTACTTGACCAGCTCAGGTCACACAACGAAGATAAAATTACAAAGTCTATATCAGCTTGTCTTGTTCACCTTAGTCATGATTTCGAATGATAAATCTGTGTTTTCTTTTAGTTCACTGGCTAGTTAGTTAGTCACGAAGTAATTTGTTATGACTATTGTCTAAATTTTAATGTCACACGATAATCTCATTGAATAATTAGATCATATTTATATACTTACTAGACACACACATGAACAAACAAATAAAGGTGACTTACCTCATTTTCTGTTTCTCCCTCTTCTTTAGCATTCTTACTATTATTTTGATCATTATCAGGCTGAGACATTAATGATACAGTTTGCAGAAGAGCTGGTAATATCCGGCCAAGTTGTTTTGTTAATGCTTCTCCAGCAACTGATGCAAGATAAGCAAATGCTTTCACATTGACTACTGGATGAGTTAGCTAATGATTTGAATGACAGGAAAGAAAACAAAAAAACATAAAGAACAATAATATTTTATAACTAACTAACTAACTAACTAACTAACTAACTAACTAACTAACTAACTAACTAACTAACTAACTAACTAACTAACTAACTAACTAACTAACTAACTAACTAACTAACTAACTAACTAACTAACTAACTAACTAACTAACTAACTAACTAACTAACTAACTAACTAACTAACTAACTAACTAACTAACTAACTAACTAACTAACTAACTAACTAACTAACTAACTAACTAACTAACTAACTAACTAACTAACTAACTAACTAACTAACTAACTAACTAACTAACTAACTAACTAACTAACTAACTAACTAACTAACTAACTAACTAACTAACTAACTAACTAACTAACTAACTAACTAACTAACTAACTAACTAACTAACTAACTAACTAACTAACTAACTAACTAACTAACTAACTAACTAACTAACTAACTAACTAACTAACTAACTAACTAACTAACTAACTAACTAACTAACTAACTAACTAACTAACTAACTAACTAACTAACTAACTAACTAACTAACTAACTAACTAACTAACTAACTAACTAACTAACTAACTAACTAACTAACTAACTAACTAACTAACTAACTAACTAACTAACTAACTAACTAACTAACTAACTAACTAACTAACTAACTAACTAACTAACTAACTAACTAACTAACTAACTAACTAAATAACTAACTAACTAACTAACTAACTAACTAACTAACTAACTAACTAACTAACTAACTAACTAACTAACTAACTAACTAACTAACTAACTAACTAACTAACTAACTAACTAACTAACTAACTAACTAACTAACTAACTAACTAACTAACTAACTAACTAACTAACTAACTAACTAACTAACTAACTAACTAACTAACTAACTAACTAACTAACTAACTAACTAACTAACTAACTAACTAACTAACTAACTAACTAACTAACTAACTAACTAACTAACTAACTAACTAACTAACTAACTAACTAACTAACTAACTAACTAACTAACTAACTAACTAACTAACTAACTAACTAACTAACTAACTAACTAACTAACTAACTAACTAACTAACTAACTAACTAACTAACTAACTAACTAACTAACTAACTAACTAACTAACTAACTAACTAACTAACTAACTAACTAACTAACTAACTAACTAACTAACTAACTAACTAACTAACTAACTAACTAACTAACTAACTAACTAACTAACTAACTAACTAACTAACTAACTAACTAACTAACTAACTAACTAACTAACTAACTAACTAACTAACTAACTAACTAACTAACTAACTAACTAACTAACTAACTAACTAACTAACTAACTAACTAACTAACTAACTAACTAACTAACTAACTAACTAACTAACTAACTAACTAACTAACTAACTAACTAACTAACTAACTAACTAACTAACTAACTAACTAACTAACTAACTAACTAACTAACTAACTAACTAACTAACTATTTAACTTACTTTTGGAACTAAATATGGCATTACAGCTTTGCCTTTGACAGCTAACAATTGTTTTATACCATCCAGCGCATATTGACTAGTGTTTGGATCATCTAATTGAGCGAGTAGATCTGGTAGAATACCATCAAGTGAACGTATACCAATAGCAGCATATAACATTTCAAATGTTTTCCCACCGTTACGACGTACTTCAACCAATGGATCACATAAAGTACGTCGTATAGGATCTAACAAACTGTCAGCATAGTTTGATAGCTGCATAGACATGTTAAACAAAATCAATTGAAAAAGAAGGTATAAGTTTAAAAAAAGGAAACAGATTAAAAGAACGTCTTATTTTCGAATAATATAAACAATAATACTATCATGGTGCAACAAGAAACTATACAAATCGAAGGACAAAAACTAAGTACATCTAAAATAGCTGTATGTTAATATACATGTATGCAGGTTGTCTAAATCTACGTAGTTATTCGTTCAAATATCGACATTTTATTAAACTTGGGAATATTTCTTATTTTTTACTCAAGGTCTGAGAGCGAAGTCGTACTGCTGACTGTAGAGGGGTGTGACAGCCATAAGGTGTTTCCCATGGACAACTAGCATGTGCACTGATGCTGCCTTTTCAAAAGGACGGATGGGGTTAGGAAAGAGCGACCATAAAATTGTCACATCTCACCTTACCTCACGGATTTCCGTCTCCAGTGGTAGGGTCTTTTAGACAAGTGAGGAGCTAACACTTCAAAAACTTCTCATAAAAGGGCTCTGTGTGATCGGTCTGAAGCAGTTGTCGCTTGGGCTCTGCGGTCACGCTCCTAGATCTCTAAGACCAACAATTATCGAGCATCCTTTACGGGCTCTTCAAGAAATACCCATGATGTAGGCCGCCGAGAAACGCTACCCGCAATCATACCTGTAACAGTACACGAGACTAAATTGATCAAAATCAAATTCTTCCTACACCCTCTAACATCTCTTTCATCTCCACGAATAAATCTTCTTACATGCCTTTCTCATTTTGCAACGCGGATGCAAACGATTTCATGAAAAGCCGTTCAAAACTACATGTTGGACCTTTTAATAACCGGACATTATGTCATATAGGGCAACAGGCTTCCTTAACTAGGACTCTGGAATCCCTCTTCATCGATGAATGCTGCATCTCCGAGTACAGTGATTAATTTGACTTCAACTGGTTTAGATAAATGACCGACTCGGTTTAAGCTTCGTGTATCTGGAAGCCCTGATGCTGCTTCCCAGGGCCTCACTGGTGTAGGTATAGTACTGAGGCCTAGTGCAGAACTAGCTCTCCTGGACTGGATATCGGTAAATAGTCGTTTGTGTGCTGTTCAACTTAACAGGACAGTAACGAACCAGAAAGATGAGGACACTCGCCTACGCTGCCACTGTCCTCTCAAATCCTCATCTTCAGAATTCCTCATCACCTCTTTCTTTCTCTTCCTACATTTATTTCACTGAATTATACTTCTTGAATAATATCTTCGAACCCCGATTTTCTCCATTACCGCTAATACTACTACTATCTCCACCACTATGGGATCTGAACTGACAGTTGTGTCTCTGTATTAATGTGGTATGGCAACCTGAAATGATGTACATACGTACGAAGTTCTACGCTGTAACTGACTGAATCCAGTTCATGAATTCATTTACTTTCATTGGGTAAGGTGATTGGGTTATTTCTAGCTTGACTGGAAAAAGGTACAAACTTAGTAGTGTAGTACAATTGAAACTTGATTGAATTGAACATCAAAACATTTCATATTACAGATAACTTAACATTCTCTAGAAAAATGTAACCAACAGTTAAGGACTTAACAAACAGAGTAGCAATCATTACTTAATGATCAACCAACTATAAATATCACGGTTAAAGCGAATAATCACGGTCCAAAAAAATCAATAGTACCCCCCGCTCAGACTGAAGAGCTAGATGATGCAATCTCGAAGTCTGGTTTAAATATCAGTCCCCTCCTCGACAAGAGTGCAAATAATCGATATTGACAAGTGCCAGCTAGTGTAGAATCTGGAACTATGGTTTTTCGTAGACTAACCTCCAATTATCTGACATCCCAAAATGGAGTAACCTCATGTTAAGTCACATTGAAACTTATAATTGAAAGAATTTAATCGACATTCAATTACTCAAAAAAAAACAATATCTCAGTCCCTATTCAATAATCAATCGATTATAAAGCTACATCACATTTATCAAGTTTATAATCAATAATAAGAAAGCATCATATAACATACCAGATCAGATTGACAACTACGTATAATTTCCATTAATCCAGTACATACACCACGTCGTTGATCAGCATCTGGAGAGTCTAAACCAGTTACTAATAATGGTATAATCTCTGGTAGAATTCGTTCACCTAATTTACGTACCATATCACCAAGTGCTCGAGCGGCAATCTAAAAATTCAACGAGTTAAAAAAGTTATGCAAAGCTTGATAAATTCGAATAGCAAAAGAGTGTCAACAGACAAATGAATTACATAATGATAATTTCTAAAGGAAAAAAAAAGTGTTTTGGATTGCTGTCATACAAACAGTGAGCTGAGAAAAATAAGCGTTATAGTGATAATATTTTTTAATCATAAAGTGACCTATTTTATGTGATTTTAGCTGTGACATTGTAACTTTTTTTTCATTTTACGAAGAAGAAGATTGTGTTTTCATTCCTAAAATTAACTTCAACTAAAACAGTAATCAATAGGAATCTATAAATATCTCTTCAAGTACACTTATTATATCAATAATATACAAAAAGGAATTGATATTGTTTGACAATAGTTGACCGATCAAAATAACGATAGATTTTTATGATTATTTCTTAATAATGAGACACATTTTGTATTTCGAACAATTTAATTCTTATTAAATTTCTTATTAAATTATAGAACTTTGAGAAGAATCAAAAAAGAGAAGAGGGAGGTGAAGAAGCGCTACTGCTTAGGTTAGTTTATAAACAGAAACAAAATCATTTTGGAATCCACTAAAATGGTTTAATCAAGATTATACAGGTTTAGTGAGTTGCTTTTTAGATGTTACTTGGAAGTTTTCAAAAAAACAAACAAAGTATTTCTCCAAGGATCATCAATGACTGTGAACAATGAAAATATAACATTTTTCTTTATCTAAAAAAGTGTATCATACAAAGTAACCACTTGACTAACTGATTGGTTCATTAAAATGAACATAAATTTGTGCAATAAAACTATAAAGGATTTTAATTAATGTGTTTTGTACTTTGTTATATATTGTTTTTCATGATTGTCACCAATTTTGTCTCTTGTGCTTTTATAGGTATGAGGGCAGATGTTAATTCCCGGCTGCCCACACCGTGGAAGGGTTTTTAGTTGTCAGAAGGGGCATCGGCCTCATGACTTCAGAAAGAACTCGAGAAATGTTTAATTTAGTATACACAAGATAATCGCATACACTGAATGGTGTTTCATTAAAATGATGAATTGATCAATGTTAGATCAGCATTAAGAAACCTGGAAGTACTGGATGGCTATTTCGTTCGAGTATAGATTGTTTATTTTTGAACTTTCTATTTTAACGGTATCAAAGTAAAGAGGTTGTATTTTCTTTGTATGGATCAATACAAGAATTCAGTTTAAGAAATATGACTTTAATAAAATCACTTTTTAACTATCCGATAAAATGAAATGATTTCTAAAGCTGTCCAACAGCAATTCTAATACATTAAAGAAACATTACCATTATTTATAATTTACACAGAGTTGATGAACACACAGACACAGACACACATAGTGAATACTTACTTGTTGATGTTCACGAGATGATGATCCTAAAGTTGTTAACAATAAATGAATAAGTACTGGCATAATTTCACGTAATGTTCTTGGTGTATTCGGTACAACAATTTTCCATATATGTATAGCCGATTGACGTACAACAATAATTGGATCAGAACGTGATAAATGTAAACGAGCTAATATACGACTATGACGTTCATCTCCAATAATTTCACGTAGACGTTGATGTGCTTCCACTGTACCAAATGTATCATCTTCATTAGTTGTCTATATTTTAGAATGAAAAAAAAGAGATTAAAACAATATTGTTCAATGTTATTATTAATCTAAAAATATTTGATATTAGAGAATAAATAAAATCCATGCTAGACCATTATAAGAAACCTGGAAGCACTGAAAGACGGCCGTTTCGTCCTAGTATGGGACTCATCAGTGGCAGTGCGCATTCACGAATCCTGTAACCCATAGGATTCGAAACTAGGACAGAATTAACTTTATAAGAAAAATAATACTTTAACTCTAAACAAATTACTCATATGAAATTAAAAACAAACAGAATTTCAAATAAAATAGTCTGTTTATATAAGGTTCTAAAGTTGATAGACAAGTTTTAAAGTAAATTAACTCAACTACTGTGTATTACTGACAAGTAGTCTAAAAGAGAAACACAAAATAAAAACTACATAATTACAGTTCTGCTATGAGTAGATTTATCCAGAAAAGACTGTAATGCCCATAATCACAAATCAATATAAATATCGAATCTTATCACAAACAAAAGAGTACTGCATGAAATAAATAAAGTTGGATTACGTTTGAATATGGAATTCACAGCACTTAAAGGAACTGGACTATAAATCACACAAAAAACACTAAACTATCGTCAAAGGATCGATTGGAGATATGAATCAATCTGTGCAAGTTTGTTCAACAGAAAAGATTTTACTAGAGAATCATAGTATATATAGGGTTGATGACCCCATCCCACCAAAAAAAACGCTAACCAGAGAAAAAAATAAGTAAGTAACACTACTAACAAAAGCGCTTAACAATTTTAAAGGCTTGTCAATGTTGAAAAAAAACGAGTCACAAGTGTAGTATAGTTAGTGAAGTATGATACTTATGAAACGTTACTATATGACTGAAACTAGTAAAATGAACAGTTTGTCGTGACACACAGCATAAAAATAAATAATAAATTTATTAAACTAGTTAATCATTTATTTGTTAATTAAAAAATTTTATTTTACACATACTTTTGTAGTTCCTTTACCAGATAATCCAGATAAACGATATAATAATTCACCTAGCAATTGAACAGATGAATGACGTATACGCCAATTTGAATCAATCATGCCTTGTTCTAATTGAGGCAATAATAATTCTAATGATGTTTCGGCAAACATATGCACTATACGTTGAGCTGCACGTAATGCTGTTTCACGAAGAAATTCTGTTTCATCCGATAATGACTTGTAGAAGTAGTAGTAGTAGTAGTAGTAGTAGTAGTAGTAAAGTAAAGAAGAAAAAAGTGATTAACAATGACAACAAAATTTGCATAGAAATATGTACAAATAAAAAAGATTGTTATATAAGCACTGAGAAGAACACATCCAAGTTGACTAGAATCATGTAACAATTAGAATATTGTGGTGTGAGCTACTTATAAGTAGTATATGATGTGAGTGTCAACGTAATGTCTGGCATCAGAAGATGGGGGGGAAGATCAAGAATGAAGGAAGAGTTAGAACACAATGGAATTTGTACGAAACGCATGAACAGTGACATTGGATTGATGTTTTGCAACAGGAACAGTCCAGTTCGATATCATGATGAACTGATATTTTGCAAATTAACTAACGATTTACGATATGGTTTTCCAATTTTACTGAGTAACTCTGTAATTTCCGTTAAATACAATTCGGTTGCCCTCACCTGTGTTCTCGTTCACTACAATATGACTTACTTTAAGAACAGTTGGTATAATTGGTCCAATGAATTCAGCGAAATCATCTTGAAATACAGTTGGTAAATAAATGAACAACATAAGATAACCATCACGTATATGAGGTTGTAATTTAGATTCCGATGAAACTGTTCTAATTAAATCAGGTAAAACAACACGTAATTTTTCTACTCCCATACCACCAAGTACTTCAGCTAATCCTTGAGCACCACCAGAACGATCAACTGATGATGTTTCTGATGTAAGTGTTGACATAAGCCATGGAAGTAGTTCCTTGAAAATTTCAAAAAGTAGAAAGGATTCAATTGCTATACGTAAAGTTACTATTTATATAATGTACAAAATCTGTAATTCAAATTACTTTCAGTAGAAGTATTCCATAAACTTGAAACAATAATCAGTACAAAGTTATATTATTTATTAGTGTACTAGTGCACACAAAAAATGATAAACTCTGCATTTTAATATTAAAGCTAATACACCAAATTGGATATGATTATTAAATTTTCAAAAATTAATGAGTTTTCCTAATTACTCTATCAGTGATACTTGTGTGAGGAATCTATCAATGAATTAAATGTGTTAGGATATTCATCCGATATCCTTAGAGAATTATTTGTAAGTTTAATTCTATTGGTCGGTCCCTATTGGTCGTCCTAACTATCAATGTCACATACTTCAATGTTGTTTCCTATTCGACCGAAATGTATAAAAATGCATTATCTGTAACGCCTTATGATCCAGATCCTTAGTCCGGGATTATGATCCTCTTCTGGACTCGGACCTCGTACTTTCTGGATTGTTGTAGGATACACGTCCTACCTCATATCAAGTTTTCTTCTTCTACTCGATACGAGTACTATCCAATTGTACAAATATATCATGAACTAGGAACTAATAGAAACTTTTAAAAGGCAGATGGTAACTATTTATTCATTTTATTAAAAACATCTATCATAGAACAAGTGTAATGTATAATAGTTAGTTTTGTACGACGTTATTCATTCTTGATTCAGCTTGGTAAGTAGGAGAGAGAAAGAGTCAAGCAGAAGTGGCCAAACAGAAGAAAAAGGTGACTTGATGATAAGTAGAAATGTCCTACAGGGACAAGTGCAGATCATTGGTCAAGAAATGGATTTATTTTCCAAAGGGAGAAGAATGTAGATATGTAAATGAGTATTTATGTATATGATTTGGTAGTGCGTTTGAAATCGGGGGGCTAGTACATATTGACATTCACATCTCGAACACTGCACATCATGACATTTACGAGTAATATATATCATATAGTTCTGTCTGTCTAACTTTAAGTGGTTCGTTTTTGAGCGGTGAAGAATTAATTGATTTTATAACAATTATGATTGAACAAACAAACATGAACATACAACTAATGTAAATCAAGTTAACTTACAGAGAAGGAAGCTTCACCCATACCACGAACAACAGCACCAAGTGCAGCAGCTGCAGCTGAACGCACTTCTGGCACAGCATCCAATAAACATGTTTTTAATAATGGCAGAATAGTGCTTACATAAGGTGCTAACTCCTACAGGAAAACAAGTTTGGATAGAAAAAAAGAAACTAGGCATTACTCATTGTGCTTTAACAATTTATTGAAGTAAACAACGAAATGTGTGATTTTCGTCCCGCTAAATGTTACAAAAATTCCAATTAGTTTGAGTATATTTCAAAATACCAACACATATGACATTTTCGATTTTATATTGTTGATTTGAAACAGCATAACATTGTATATAGGATTCTATTTTTACTGTGAAGTTTCTTCATGGTTAAACAATTCAGCTCAGAGGATGAAACTGCACTGTGATCCTCATTGTAAAAGAATCTCTGATTGATAAAGTTCACACAAAAGAATATGCTATAACATGAAGTGGACTGGAAACAAACTGTTTTTTAAAAAAATAATTGAAATACCAAATTGTTAAGTAATCAAAATGATATAGTATTTGAATTGCTAGAAGAACCACATAGGTCATTATTGCATCAATGCGTGAATCTAAATTAAACCGGTCAATTTATTTCCTGAAGATAAATAAATCTGATTTATCATTAAAGAGTTGTGGAGATTGTTGTTTCACATTGACCTTGTGACCAGTGGAGTAGTACAACCCTGTCGGGTCTAGGCAGTAACTACCAAAGACAATGGGTGAGGTTGCGAAAAAACTTTAGATTGACCAAAGTTAAACATCAACACCGTTTAATGTCGGCCCAATGATCCAGAGGTTAAGGGTTTGCGCGCGAGACTGAAGGTCCTCGGTTCGATTACCGCGAGCGGGTATTGTGGATATGCACTGTTGAACTGTTTCATACCACGATAAAACGGTGGTCTTTCAGTGCTTCTATGTTTCTAATGGTGGTCTAACAATGTTAAATTGAGAATTTATTGAATAAACGGTTGTCAAGACACCTTGTTAGATAATGTTTTGAAATTGAATAGAAAAAGTGTTGGAGAAATATTACCGCTAACAGAATTCGGGACATATCATTTATCGTGACAATGAATTTTTTATATCAAATAAACTTTCAATAATAAAATAACAACAACAACAACAAAAAGTTTTTGTTAACATGGCAACTATGATAAAAAACATACTGAGAGCATTTTTATTTACTAAAAAAATATCGGTACAAAAAAAAAGGAAAAAAAGACAGACATAGATTAGTTCGCTTTTAAAATCAAGTATTTAGTAAAAACAAAAAATGCAGTACGCAACAATAATAATAATCTATTTCATATAACAAAATCAGTCAGTTTACCTCTTTTCTAGCTAAACTATGTAAATTGCCAAAGATTTGTGCAGCCATTTTACGTGTTTCAGTAGAACGATCAGCGAATGCTCGTTGTATAACTGGTAGGATAAGTGCTAAACTAGGTGCATCAAGAACATGCACAAAACATGTATCACGAAGTGCTGCTAAACAAGGTGTTTTATCAGCCAATGGTTGTTGAAGACAATTAGTAAGTAATGGAACAAGAGCTGAATAAAAGAAAAAAAAACAATTCATGAAATATTTCAATAAACAAATGGCAAATAAAATAGGATTTTTTAATTTAGTATTTAGTTTTATGAAAGATTACTGAAAACGATACTACTTAATGGAAAGTATTTAACAATTAAGATAGGCACATGTTAAGCTATTATATGTCCCGTGATTGCAACGCGTCAGAATGACTAATTATGCTACATTGACATGACGTCATAGTAGTCGACAGACAGACAGACAGACATACAACGCAGAACTTCGTACGTAAGTACATCAGTTCAGGTTGCCTTACCACATCAGCACAGACACGCAACTGTCAGTTCAAATCCAAGAGTGATATTAGAAGTATCACTGGTAATGGAGATTAGGGAGCAAACAAATGATTCGAGAAGTATAATTCAGTGGGATAAATTTAGAAGGAGAAAGGTACAGAATATGAGGAATGCAGAAGCTTAGAATTTCATAGAACACAAAGAGTGGATGCACCTGCGCCACTGTAAACGATTCTAAGCCACGTCGTTCAAGGTCTCTAACCATCGATAACTATCACCTCGTGGACCCTAACCAGGTAGCCTACACCTACCAACATGACTCCGTCCACTTGTAGATGACTTCATGGATTTCTGCCATGTTTTGGTTTGGCCGCCCCTAGCTTTCTTCCATCCTATTCCTACACTGCAAAAGGTATTAGAATTAATCGAAGAGGTTAGGATTAGAAGATATAATTCAAGAAGTATGATTCAGTGAGAAAAGTTTAGAAAGTCAGAACTAGGGGGGTTGAAGAATCCAGAAGATTAGGATTTGAGAGAACACAAAGAATAAATGCACCGGCGCCATTACGAACGATTTTGAGCCATTTTTGCTTAGGGTAGTCATAGTAGTCAAATGATATTTTGATAGGCTGAACAGTCTAACAAGTACCCGTTCAGAATAGTACCAATTTATTTATGATTAAGGATGTCCAGGAAAAGCAAAGAACAATAGAATTTATGCGAAACGGTGGTTACAATAAAATGAGAAGAAAAAATGACAATGTTAACCTACCTTGAACTTCAGGATTACGAATCACTTTACCAATCTGAGTCAATGCTCTAACACCAGCTTGTTTAACACGTTCTTGTGAATCCACTAATACTTCTAGTAAACGAGGTACTATTTGAGGTAAACAAGCAGATAACTGTTTTGATGCACAATGCGTCATTGATGCAAGTAAATCTACAGCCTCTATTATTATTATTATTATTATTATTATTGTTGTTGATATTAATGAACAAAGTAATAAAAGAAAATAGAATGAGAAATACAGTACAAACTATCTAATATTAATGGTCATAAACAACGTAAAAATTTGGAAAAATCTTCATTCATTTCAGTTGCTAATGTCTTATTGAACATACTTGTGTTGCAGTGTGTTCACCGATATGTCGAGTCCACATGGCTTGACCTAGATTTCGAACAAACTAACTAATTAACCTTTGTTGCTCAAGTTGCTATTCGCACGTCTTTTGACCTTGTCAATTATTTGCTGATATCTTGGTTATTTTTACTTGAGTACGTATGCGCATGCTTACTTCTCTTGTCACGCATGTCTAACCTATTTTGTCTGACTAGCAATACTTCGTGATGCCCTATCGCATGGAGTTGACTCATTCTTGTTCTCCACTTTGTTTTGCTTACATGCTTTGTATTCTCACATCTGGTCTGAGTGGACGATTGCATGAGATAAAATCATCCAACTGAATCCATATTTCGATTTTTATTGCAGCCATCGCACAAACGGGATTCGTCTCAGTATGATATATGGGAATTGGAGGGAAAACTTAGTTCATAGCAAATTCAAATATTCGTCTAAATTGGAGTTAACTTGTAGGCCACTAATTTATCATTATGTATCATTTCAGTTTGTACCACAGCTATGGTTAACGGTTAGTTGAATGAACAGAGAAGCATACATGATTACAACAATAACCATTCAAATGGACATCACTTAAGCAAATATTTTCGGGAAAGTGACATCCAAGTTTACCAATAAGTTTAAGCTAAATCAATCACTGAATACAACAGTCTTCCCGTTTGTAGTTATGTCAAGTGATTAACGATGAATTCTATAACAACACATTGTACAGTAATCAATATGTTTTACATAAATCCTTTAAGATAAGAGTATTTCTCAACAGGACTCTTTACATGAGATATATACAGACATTATCGTTAATTTTGAATGCTTCCATCTAAGATATACACGCTGTACAGTTAATTATGAAAGTTGATAGAATCAAAGTATGACATAGAGCACTACCATATACTATCTATTTAATGCTTACATGCATGATATCAGAAAGTCATTAATTAATTCTAAGAACTTTATCATAAAATTCAATACTCAGATCGTATCAATCAAGTAAAAATTAATTTTAAATAGTTTCATAATACAAGAACATCACTAAAGTGTACTTTTGTAGTTTTAAAAAAAAACTAACCTGCTTTTGTACGCCAAGACTGTTGGTCGTCGATAGCTTTAAGCAATGCTGGTAATATTAATTTCACACCATGTGCACTTAATTTACTCATAACAGCTCGTGCAGCATTTGATGCAGCCTGGTAGAATAGAGGTGTATACAAGACAGACGGATAAAACGTATAAAAACCAAAAATGAAATCATGAATAAATACGTTTTCTTAGAAAATAATTCTGACTTGAATCTTTTCTACTCAGTGAACTAATCATATATAACATGAACATTATACTTCATACAACTCATTACACATTTTTGAAACCATGAATCGATCAATGTTAGACCACCATTAGAAACCTGGAAGCACTGGACGACCGTTTCGTCCTGGTATGGGACTCCTCAGCAGTGCGCATCCACGACTCCTGCACCCCGCAGGATTCGAACCCAGGACCTTCGATATTGTAGGCGAACGCCCAACCATCGGACCACTGAGCTGGTATCTAACGGTGTTAATGTCTAACTTGAGGAGTTACAAATAACTATCTTTAAACACAGTTATATATATTATAATGAATTCAGAAATTATACTCATCTATGATTTTGATTTGACTGAATTAAAAATATTTTACACCGGGTTTAGAGTACAAATTCAGTTTATTAAGAAGATACAAATAGGTACAAATAATCCTATCGTAAAATAAATAAGTTGAATTCCATTTTATGTGAAAATTAAGTAAAGGACCTTAATAAAAAAAAAACAGCTTCAAGCTGTTTAAATTACCAAAAACTAAAAAAAAAAATAAAGCCATATACATCATGTTCTGTCTGTTAGACACAACATGTCTTTCATCTTATTTATATTATTCGAATACTTTGATTAAACAATGTACGATGAAGAAAAAATTGTCCTCACTATTGATCGAATGAATGGTGTGTAGATTTATTAGGAGTAATGATCACTTGATGGTGTAGTTACACCAACAGCAATTACAAATCACAGGGTAGTATGTAAAAACAAACGGATCAATAATAAGACATTTTTTGAACACTTTATTGGTTTCACTAATCGGTAACATACCACCTAATTAAAAATTGCAAACTTTTACAATGTTTACAAGGTTACTTTATAATGTTTATTACTAGTGATGATTTCTTAATTAATGAACCTTACAAGTGTAGAGAATATTCTCTGAAGAAGTGGTCATACACTGGATTCACCAAATGTTAGAAAAGTTCTACTGTCAGTCAGTCAGTCAGTTACAACGTAGAACTTTGTACATGAGTACAAAAGTTCAAGGTGCCGTAACCCATCACCACAGAGACGCAATTGTCAGTTCGAATCCCATACAAGGTAGAGATAGTAGAAGTATTAGCAGTAATGGAGAAGGTTAGGATTCAGAGATATGATTCGAGAGGTACAATTCAGTGAGATAACTTTAAAAACAGAAAGATAGATTTGACGAGGAATTCAGAAGATAAGGATTTGAGTGAGGACAAAGAATGAATGCACCTGCGCTATTGCAAAAGGTTTTCAGACATGTCAATCAGGGTCTCTAACCGTCGCGGGCCCGAACTAGGTAGCCTATATCTACCAACGTGACTCAGTCCAACTGTTAGTAGTTTCATGAATTTCTGCGACGTTTTTCTCTGGCCATCCCTTTTTACACCACAAAACATAGCTCGACGAGGCGGTCGGCGGTTGGAAATTCGTAACATATGTCCCAGCCACCTCAACTGATGGAGTTTCAAGACAACGTCTATTGATCTGCCATCCTTAACTAGTACTCGTTTCCTAACAACTGCATTGCTTACTCGATGGTCCCAGGATATACGAGCAATGCTTCGAAGACATCTGTAATCGAAAACCAGTAACCTACGAGTATCTTCTACTCTCACTGGCCATGTTTCACACCCATATTGTAGGACGGAGCGAACTGCTGCACAGTATACTCGTCCTTTACTTAGCAAACGGATATCTCGCCTACACCATAAGTGACGTAAATTGGCAAAAGCCAATCGAGCATTCTGCATCCGTGCTGAGATTTCGTCAGTCACCAGTTCTACTGTAATATTACGAATCTAATATTTTTATTATTCTTATCATTATTAATGTTTTTGTATTGGAATTTCCAATCCTCAGTTTTCTAAGAAGCTGTGTTAACTAGAACAGTTCATCAAACACGTAGGAACTTACTTCTCTTACACCAGGATTTGTATCACCAAATGTATTTAATAAAGGGGTAATGAAACGAACCACATATGGTTCAAAAAGACGTCCCATTCCAAGAGAAAGTCGTTCAACAGCCATTAAAGCACCTTAAAAAAAAGGAATTAACAAGACTGAAATTCTTCAAGCGAAAATCAAGTTTTACATATAAGATAATAGTAGTGTACAGTGGAATGAATAAATAAACGAAGCGTCTTTCAGCTGCAGTTAGACTCTCATTAATACTCAATTATCATACTATAAGTACAAGTGACATTTTTTTTTCGTTACGCTTTCAGTCACTAGATAATCTCACTTCAATCAAACTAATAGGAACTTATTTCCGACCTGAATGTAGTTAGCAATTTTGTAATTCAGTGGTTGTATTGAAAGTTGATCGTGATATAGAAGAAAAGAGTATTCTTGTTTTGTATAACGGAAGCTAGAGTGGCTATTATGCATTTAGAATGCCGCTGACTGCATTACAATGTTAAATTGACCATGAACACCTTGTTATAATTCTACAAATTTAGTTTGTTGCTGTTAAATCATTAAAAATAAGCAACTAATGTCAATTTTGTCTAGCCCAATATTTGCATTTTTTTTAAAACTTAATTTCTAGATACTGTTTAGTATACAAGGCTTAGAGTTACACTTCAGGCATAAGCATTATTTATACTATTCATCCATTCAAACTGAAGTGGAACCATTGAGCCACCACCTCCATTTAAATATATACCGATATTGAATGAAGATTATTTAAATTGTTCACTAATAGTATGAAATATTAAAAGCGACTTAAATTCATATAGTTTAGCAAATAAATTGACTGGCTTTTTATGTCACACAATTACAGGTTTTATTTCAACGTCAAGAAAAAATTAAAAATTGAATGTAGAGTTACTACTTCGTCAAACAATTTAATACCAGTAAAACGACTTACCTTCACGACGCTTAGACACTTTAGTATCATCTAACGCCGGCATAAGTTTGTCAATAATTCCATGGTGCTTCAGTGACATAATGCCTAGACCTCGAGCAATTCCAGCAATCCCATGAGCTGCACCATGACGTTCAGCATAATTATTACTACTCAATAGAGTAGTCATTAGCTTATTAATGGTTTTTGCAGTTTGTTCTTCTGGTAATTTACCAATGAGTGATGCTAAGCAGTCTTCTACAGCTTGTTGAACCTAGATAGAATGAATATAATTAGATCCAAAATGTACAGAAGAATGATTATTTCCTTATTTTATTTGATATGTATAAGATACAGTACAATTATGCACCAAAAGTGTATGTACCATACAAACAAGAAGATAAAATTGTGATAACCTTTTCTCCCAAACGACCTAGTAAATTTGAGGGTAGGGAGAGAGCTCTCTCACCGGCTCAAAGTGCCCTCCTGTGGTGGCGCGTCTATAGCCCCTGTCATGAAGGTCCTGGTTATTGCATTCCGGAAGCAATGGTGATGTTTACGAAGAAAAGGATGAAGAGTGAACATCTGTCACTGAAACAGGTAAGGTGGATATGGAGGGTTTACTAAGGGGAACCGGAGAAACCATGATTCTAAAACAATGATCTACATGGGCTCCAGGATCCTGGGGGGATGGACAGAATTTTATCACCCTCTACCATTGGACTAACACAGCCTGGAGCCTCTCCAGGGCTACTGCAGGGTCGAAGCCCGGATAAAGGAGGAAGGTTATAGATGGGGTTGGTGACCCCAGCCCATAGAAAACTAACCCGCTAAAAACACTACTGGAGCACTGGTTGAGTGAGAGCTTATGGCGAACTGTCATCGGGATTCTTTACTTCAAGTGGTGTCCGTTAGGACTGTCCACTCTCCCCATTCCTGTTTAACTTTTTCTTACACATGCTCTCTTAGAGTTAAATTTATCATTGTCTGACTTTTCAGGAGTGGGCATTCTGCCAGGAAACACGCTTGCTGACTTGGAGTATGCTGATGACATAGTTCTATTCGATGAAGACGCTGATAAAATGCCGTGTCTTCTGACTACACTCAGCAACAATACAAGCATATTCGGAATGCGATTTCTCACATCGAAATGCAAAATTTTGTTTCAAGATTGGCTTATATCGGCACCTGAACTAGTGATAGGGAGTGAAGTAGTTGATTGTGTTGACCTCTTCACTTATCTCGGGAGTTTCATCATTGCTGACAGTTGGGTGTCTGATGAAACCTCAGCATGGATAGGGAATGCTTGATTGGCTTTTACCAACCTGCGTCACTTATGGCGTAGGCGAGATATCCATCTGCTAACCAAACAGTTTGTTTGAAAGCTACAATAACCCATGTATGTGTGACAGTAAAAGACATTAGAAATTTAATATCCAATAAATGAAACTCTTGTCTAATTTGTTTAGACGACATTTCGTCTACTGCACAGTTTGTTTTATTTCAGTAGTATGTAGCTACTTGACTTGGAAATACTATTTAGTCATGAACCTTAAATCCTTTCCACCTACTCCAATTGTCAGCTTTGTGAAGTAAGCACTGTTGGTGTTGTCCAGGACGACAATGAAAGCTTTGAAAACGAATTTATCCAAACTACAAATCTACTCCATTGTTTCAATTCACTGATTTATGGGCTTAAGAATAGGGAAGTTAATAAAACAGTTTAAATGTATTTTATGCAAAAACCACCTACTGCCTCGACGAGCTATGTTTTGTAGTGTAGGAATAGGTTGGAAGAAAGTTAGGGGTGACCAAACCAAAACATGGCACAAATCCATGAAGTCATTGACAAGTGGACTGAGTCATGTCGGTAGTTGTCGACTACCTGGTTGGGGTCCACGAGATGATAATAATCGATGGTTATATACCCTGAATGACATGGCTCGAGACCGTTTGCAATGGCGCCGGTGCATTTATTCCTAGTGTTCTCTCAAATCCTAATCTTTTGGATTCTTCAACACCTCTAGTTTTATCTTTCTAAACTAATCTCACTGAATCATACTTCTTGAATAACATCTTCTAATCCTTAGCCTCTCTGATTACTCCTAATACCTTTACTACCTCTTCTACTATTGGATTTGAATTGACAATTATATCTCTGTGCTGATATGGTATAGCAACATGAATGAACTGATGTACTTATGTACGAAGTTCTACGTTGCATCTGAGTGAGTGATTTTATGAAAAAAAAAGAAGATAGAGAATTTTCTAATATATCAAATGTTACAAAAATTACATAAGACAAAACATTAATCAACTAACTTACTAAATCTGATGGAAAATTTAATGTATTCAATAAACGATTAAAAATAGTTCCAACTCTTGGATCACTTGTATCTAAATGTTGTGATAATGAACCAGTTAGAATGAGTATAGATTGACGAACTGAATCTAATTCCGGGACATTTGGAGCTTTATTTACATAATTTTCAAGGATTGGCAAAATTTGATTAATATAAAGCTAGAAAAGCAAATAAATTATTTAAGGAAATAAACTTTATTTAAAATATAAATGACTGATAAACTAAATTACATGTTTTTTTAGATTCATTAAATTGAATGCAAGTCTTTTTTTTTAATAATGTTATGCACTACATCAACTTTTCAGTGGATGCAATTGTAACTTACTCTTTACATGCCATTTCGGAAACCACAGTCTTGAGCGGTGGAATAAAGAAACATATGAACTGGTGAATATATATGTATTGGTTCATATCCTAGCTGAATAGTTTGTAAAAAAAAACTAGAATACCTAATTAGCAATATACAAAATAAGTTTTCACAGTCGGTAGGTGTTGACTAACTGGTTGGAATCCGCGAGATCATAATAATCGATGGTTAGAGACCCTAAATGACATAACTCAGCACCTTTTGCAATGGCACAGGTGCATTCATTATTTGTGTTCTCTCAAATCCTAACCTCCTGAATTCCTCATCACCTTTATCTTTTTCTTTTTAAGTTTATTTCACTAGATTCTACTTCTTGAATAGTATCTTCGAACCTTAATCTCTCTGATTACTGGTAATACCTTTACTACCTCTACTACTATTGGATTTGAATTGACAATTACATCTCTGTGTTAATGTAGGAGAACTAATGTACGTACGAAATTCTACGTTGCTATTGATTGATTGATTGATTGGTTGTCTTACATAACCACAGCTTTTAAATAAAAAACAGAACAGTCACCTAAGAGTGCTGTTTATCTTTTCATAATGAGGTAAATTTTCATAACAAAGGACATCTAATTTGAATGTAACATTAATAAGTATAAGAGGATGGAGTATACAAAAAAATAATCTCATGAATAAAGTATACAGAAGTGTAGACACACGCACACACACAGACACGCATACAAATATAGACTATGATAGATACTAACCTTTCCAAAATTACGAACAGTACGTAAACCAGCTTGAAGCATTTCCGATTGTACTGTTTTATTACGATCATTCAACCCATCACTAACAAGAAAACGAAATATATTCAGCAACCACATTGGTGATTGGTTTGGTGCAGCATCATTGCTAGTAGTAGTAGAAGGATTGTCTGTGTCGGAATTTTTAGGATCGACATTATCTTCAATCTTTTCTTCATTATTGCCAATCATTAAACTTTGCCTGAATAATATTTGTGAAATAGACAATGATGACGCAGCAGCAGCAGCAGCAGCAGCAGGTGCATCAGATAGTCTTGTCAAAATCATAGCAAGACCAATGCGTTCACGCCATCTATCAGGTGATTCAGGACAAAGTACACGACCCATATTATCTTGTACAGCAGGATCACGCTATATCAATACAATATGGAAATAGTAATAAGATTATTTGTAAACAATAAGTGTCAACAGTCAAAATCAGCTGAAATAATGAATTTAATCATTTATAATGAGAAGTAAATAAAACTTTAATGATAAAAGAGACACAGACAATTATCAAGAGTAGAGTTTGTTCATTAACAAAAACAACTGCGTGGTTGTTTATTAGGTGCATTTTTCTACTTATAGTGAGTTAGAAGAAATGTGTACTACTACCATTGACATCGGTTTTATGTGTGTTAGGGATAATTGAAACTTTCAAAAGTGCTGGCATTACTTAATTTATAGTGGAGTTTCGTTCTCTGAGCTGGATGTTTTGGCTGTGGAGCTATCATTGTTTTTCTGCTGAACAACATCATCAACACAAAATTCAGGTAGAAGTGAAGTATTCGAATTGCTCCCAGCTTTTGGACAAAACTAACCATACCTTTTGACCCTGTCGATGATTGACTTGAATGCTTGTATGAGTTGCATACTTCATTTGCCACATGTTTAGCCTATTTTTGCTTGACTATAAATACTGAGTCACAACCTCATCTCATTGAGTTGGTCCAATGACCTTCTTCACTTCGCTTTACTTTCACTCTGTATTTTCGCAACTGTCTGTGTGAACGATTGCAAGAAATAAGCTCATCCAACTGAATCCGTATTTGACTTCGCATTACCGCCATTGTACAAACTGGGTTCACCTAAGCATGATCACACGGAAATTGAAAGGAAGATTCATTTCTAAGGGAAAATTTATTTCATAATACATTTAATCGTTCCTATAAATTGGATTTAGATGACGGGCCATTAAAAACATCTTCGAAATGTCACTTGTGTGGTTCGGGGTCACTGAGTGAGGGATACCTTTGTTAGCTATTGAAAATCAATTCATGGGGTTGTGACTCTTCAACTGAGATGGTTAGGATATGTATTTCGCATGACTAACCACCATCTGTATCGATGGGTGTTGTTATCTAGTGTAAGAATGGCCAAGTCAAGACGTTGAACCAATGTATGATGTCACTGACCATTGAACTGAGTCAATCTTTAAAATGGCAGACTAGCTGGTTGGAGGTGTATGTGATCATCATAACCAATCGTTAGATACTTTGGATGACAACTTAAAATCCTTTATGACGGCCGAAGTGTATTCACTCTTCGTCTCCCCTAAGGTGATAAGTTTCTGAATCCTTTATGAGTTGTTTTCACTAATATAAATCATCCTAAATTTCATCTTCGATCCCCACTTTTTCTATTACCAATAATGCTGTTTACTACCTCTACTACTCTGCGATCTTGTTGAGTTAATGGACCATTTCGATGTGAACCAATGTAAACACACACCAAGTTCTACGTTTCACTTGACTGACAGTCTGAGTCTGTTTGTAACCACCTAGATTATCGAAATGTAATGTTTACAAGTTGATTGGTTGATTATGGATTAATTGTTCTTGATCCGTTATGTTGTTTTAATTCATTTTTCTAATAAAATGAATGCTGATTAGTTATAACTTATTGGAATGATTAAAAAATTTCTGTTTCTGCTTTGAAGAAGCCAAGTAAATATAATCAGTGAGACTGTACAAACTACTGTAAATTCATTATTATCTTGTTAAAAATATTGCGAGAAGGGTTAATAGTGACGATAAGAAAATAAATAAAAGGTGAGGGAGGGATTTAATCGTGAACTAGATTATCTTAAATGCTGTTGGACGGATGAGAGCTGTTGTAAATTATCAGATGTCTACATCATGGAAGGATATTTTTTCTTGACGAACCTAAAAGGAGAGACGGGTTAGTGGTGGTCTTAGTGACTTGAAAATATGATTACAACACTCAAAAGACAACTGCTTGAGGCCGATCATTAACGGCCTTCTTGTATAGTTCTAGATGTGTTAGCTCCGCACTTCAGACGGCCTTACCATCGGAGACGGTAGGGTGAAGAGTGGCTTTTCTATGGTTGATCTTTTCTAACCGCTTTCTTCCGTTGTGAGAATGCAGCATCACTGCATATGCTGGTTACCCCAGGGAAATACCTTACATCAGTCACACTACTCTACAGTCAGCAATATTTCGCCCCCGGACTTCAAGTCACTGCTTTTAGTTTTACAGTTCTCCAACAGACTTGCCTAGCATGGCAGAACCTAAAGAAACATGTATTCCGGTTAATATGGCTTGGTTGGGTCATCATGATAGGCAAGTATGACTGTCACGTCAAGGCAGGCAGAGTAGAAGTAACAATTGGCTATCTATATCATATGTAATAGAAGGATGAATGATAAAAAAAGTCAGTAGAGTTAGCTAAAAAAAAATAAAAACTTACATGTAACATAACATGATACATATGAACTAACATATCTAAAGCCACACTAATTTCATCATTAGTACGATCAAGAAGACATAAAACAAATGCATCAGCTATAGCTGATTGAACTGAAATACTAGGACGAGTTGATTCTAACAATAGACGTTGTGCAAGAAGCATTGGATTCAATAGATCAGTATCATTTGGTTTTTCTAAAAGTGCTTTAATATTATTTTGTACTTTTGTAGTAGACAATTGAGTATTTTCACATTTTGTATCTAACTGAAGTGAATGCCATATTCTAAATAGAGAAAAAAGAGGCAATAGGAAAAGTAAGAACTCGTTTCCGTAATTAGTGGTTCATTTTTTTAAAAAAAATTCCATACATTAAATATAAAAGCATATATGTGATGTATTTGTCTAGCATATAGACTAGTTACTTGGTTATTGATGTGCACACACAAGGAAACTAAAGGAAATTAAATGAAGTTCATTAAAACACAAATTTACTGCTTGTAATTAGTTGAAAATTGACTCGAAAGTTCCGAGTAGTTGGTTTACTTTGTCTTATGTGAATAGATCACTTTTCAGTCAGTCGTAACAAACGTAAAGTCAAGAACAAATGTGCATCCGCCCGATTGGCCATCAAAACATTACTTATGGAGAATAAATGTTAAAACAAACGGAAAGTTGTCTACTGTTAAGTATACAATGGAAAGCTTATGTAGTACTGACACTTCATGATGGGTGTTTGAATCGTGAAAATGAACTTGATTACCAATTTTCTTTCACTATTGTAATCCGCATAAGATACCGTACGCCTAGTCCTTACAAAAAAAATATCCTACGATAAACATCAGATTCATGTAAGTTGATTTAGGGCAATTAACAGGAATTTTTGTGTTTTAGTAGTTAGCAAAGGATATTCAGAATATTGAGGGAAAATAAACTTTCTTCCTGTGGGATTAGTAAACGCATAACCCAGTATCAACATGCAAGATGTAAACATCATGTAGTTATTACAACTGCAACATATTATGTTTCAAATGACGATAATTCTGAATCTTTTTTGAACAGTGAATTGAAGGAAAATTATGTATTACTGATTGGTCACTAATAACATGTTTGTCTAGTCCTTAGCATTGATTAAATCTTACTGACTGGCCAAACACGATATTGGCCAGTAATGAATCAATGCAAATATCTCAATTCTACAGAAGGTTTGTTACGATCCGAATAGTTAGAACTTCGAAGGTGGGCGACATTGGCTCAAATACCACATGGAACACAGATCCTTAAAGACGACTGACAAAGGTCAACTATTATCAAGCCCAGATTTAGGGTTTTCTCACAGACACCTTTAACCACCTAACATTTAAACTATGCAGAAAGTTAAGTCCCTTTATTTGACTATTGGAGTTTTAAAACTTTTATTATGACTCTTATTTTAATGACATACAATGATGCCTGCCAAAAAAATGGAAAACAAAGGGAACAAAGTTGAGTGGCAACAATTGAAAAGTGTCTCTTTATATGGATCTCATATAATGATTGAAGAAGAATATTGTGATTTAGACGAGAACAAGAAATAAAGATGGAGGGAATAGACAGAATCTAAATGGATACTGAAACGAGAATTTCAGAAGATAGAAATCACGAAAAGTCTGAGGAACACCTATGAATGATGAGCTTTATTAACAAGAAATATCATCTGTTTAGTTTGTAGACAACACTCACTTCCATACTTGCTGTATGCTTTTTCTTAATGAAGAGTTAACGATTTTTATTGCTGTTAGTGAAAAATTATATAGTCATTTGTAAATTTCATTTCAATCACTTACTGTTCAGCTAACTGAGCTATATGAGTTGATCGATCGCTACGAATGATCCAAATACGTACTTGTACAAAGGACCAAATAGATAATTTTGGCCAGTCAGCTGGAGAGGCATATGGTTTTGTACACATTTGCTCGGTGACCTGATGCTTTTCCGCTGCAGCTGCAACTGATTGTGTTAACTTCTGTTTACGTCTTTGATTTTTATTCAATTTCTTTCTAGGCTTTCCATCACCAGATTTCTCTGATGGTATGGCAGCTCCACTGTCTTCATCACAATTCATGTCATCCTTGAGATTAGATTCGGCTGTATTCTTATCAACTGATGTAATATCAATATCTGTAGTCTCTGTAGTATCTTGAATTGGTTTCGATTCAGTTGTGGATGATTTTTCCTGTAGTTTGATTAGTTCGATTACACGAGGTATCCGTTCAACCAGCTTATAAAGACACTGAACAGATAGCATAGACAATAAAAAGTATGCATAAGTTAGAGTTCTACAAAAATACAAGTTAATCAAATGAGACATGCTTTATAACGATCGTTTACAAAAATTTTGCATCATGAGTCAGAAAATATTTAGGGATTAAAATCTTAAATAATAGACGGTATGTTTTAATTTCATTTCACTTTGTTTTGATCATTCGAATGGTATTTCTAACCGATATACAATGCATCTAAGTTAACACGTGATAGTTGAACTTTCATTTCGATACTGATTTAATAGATTTGAAATCTGCAGCCTACTTTGCCGATATACTTTAGCTATTACTATGGACAGGAAAATATTATGTTTAAACACTACAGTGTTGTTGCACACAGTATACAATCAACAACAACGTAGGACTTCGCGTACATACGTACATCAGTTCAAGTTGCCATACCACATTAGCACAGAGACGCTATTTTCAATTGAAATCCCATAGTAGTAGAGGTAGAAAAGGTATTAGCAGGTGGAGGTATTATACAAGAAGTAGAATCTAGTGAAATAAACTTAAAAAGAAAAGATAAAGTGATGGGGAATTCAAGAGGTTGGAATTTGAGAGAACATAAAGAATGAATGCACCTGTGCCATTGCAAACGATTTTGAGCCATGTCATTCAGGGTCTCTAAACATCGATTATTATCATCTCGCGGCCCTTAACCAGATAGCCTACATCTACCAACATGACTTAGTCCACTTGTCAGTGACTTCATGGATTTTAGCCATGTTTTGGTCTGGCCGCCCCTAGCTTTCTTACAACCTATTCCTACATCGCATAGCTCGACGAGGCAGTCAATGGTTAGGCATACGCAACACATGTCCTAACCACCTCAACTGATGAAGTTTCACTACTTCATCTATTAATCTGCCATCCTTACCTAGGACAAAATATACACTGTTGCTTTGTTATATATATTCTGTTTAAAAGCATACCGTCTATCAATAATGAACAGCAGTAACAGTAAATGAGTCAAAATACATGAAATATTATGACCAACAAAAGGTTTTAATCAAAGATTTCGATCAAAATAACTATTAATATAACTAAATATTTTAAAAAAATAATAATACTTACACGAACTGAAATTTCTCGTGCTTGTTCCGATTCCGAAACAAAACCAATTAATAAAGTGAAAACCATAGGGCTGACTAATTTACCAATACAATCTTCATTATTTTCCAATGTATGTACATATTGCACAAATAAATCAGTAGTTAACATCATTAAACTTGTAGCAGTGAATGCAATGGATTTACGTGAAGCTAAATCATCAATATTCAATGAATCATTAAATGAATCATCTTCATCAGTTAATTCATTTTCATTCAAATCATTTGAATCTTCTTCGTTGGTGGAGTCTCGTGAACAGGCATCAATTAATTGGCGCAATAACTGTATAATAAGACCATTTAAAGGATGATCGATTGTGACAACAACAACAACAAGAAAAAACAAGTAAATATAATTTTTTTATGAAGAAAATGTTGGTAAAGTTAAATGAGAGAAATATTTCTTAGTTAACGGTGACTACATTCAAGTTTAGGCTTACAATAATAATAAATACTATTAATCAATTTTATAATGTATATCAAACCATTAAGTCTGATCTATATTGTGCTGAAGTATAGCTATTATTTGATCAATCCAAACAGAGATAGAGAGTATTGTCAACTGCTTAGTTGAATTAGCCTAGTGGTAAAGATATTCGACTTTCAATCACTAGGTCAATAGGTTTGAGACCCACCTACTTATTTCAATCCCGACTATAGCTGCTACCTTGACGTGGTGGTCGGGCTTGTCTATCGTGGTGACCCAACCGAGCTATATTGTCTGAAACATATGTTCCTGAAGGTTATACCATGCCAGGCAGGTCGATTGGAGAACGATGAGACTGTACACAGCTACTCAAGATCTGAAGGTGAAGTCGTACTGCTGACTGTAGACAGGTGTGACAGCAGTAAGGTGTTTCCCTCAGACAACCAGCACCTGCAGCGATGCTGCCTTCTCACAAGGAAGGGGTTAGAAAAGGTCGACCCTAAAAATGTCACACCTTACCTTGTCTCACTGATTTCCGTGAGGTAAAACGAACGGAGCTAACACTTTAAAAACTTCCCATAAAAAGTCCGTGCGTAACCGGCCTCAAGCAGTTGTCCCTTAGGCTCTGTGATCACACTCCCAGGTTTCTAAGACCAACACTAATCTACCTTCCTTTTCAGGTTACTCAAGAAACAACCTTCCACGGTGTGGGCAGCCGGGAAGTGACAACCGCTCTTATACCCGTAACAGCACACGAGACCAAACTGGTCAAAATCAAATCCCTCATGACTGACTTATTTTAGTCTAGGCAGTTAGATAGATAGCTCTTTGACTTTCTCTCTGTAAGTCAGATTAGTGTAAGATACGAACAATTGTCTTTTTTTCAAATGACAAAGTAGTGAAATCCTATTGTTTAAGCAAAAAAAATAATCCAATCAAAAATGGGTATTCTTACTCTGAGAAAACAATCTAATCGGAGAATATTTAACACACTATCACATTGTATTGCTCGATTCTGTTGATACTGTTCATCATTATCAGTGACAATTTGAAAATGTCTTTCTAAGGATTTCAATAGAATTTTAATTAAATCAGCATCTATCCAATCAGGATGTTGATTTGTCAATCTTTGTGAAAAATTCGTTGATAGTAAATCTTCAGGTATGGCATGAATCCAGGAAGAATGTAGAAATACATGATGAATAGTAGGCGATAAAAATGACAATAATAAAGATGTATTCAAATTATGAACTGGTACCTGCGAAAGGGAGAGAGAGAGGTAGACAAAGAAAAAAGTGGTGACATATTAGTAAGAAATATCTCACATGAATTCATTGGCAGATAAATGTTTAGTTGACAATCTAATTAATGTAACATTTGATGTGAATAATGAAAGTGATAAATAAGGATAAAAACAGTAATCCAGTATTATCAAACCTACCAAAGGTTTGTGTTGAAATTTGCTTGTACACTGTACAAAACTTTTAGAAAACTATTCTTAATAAAACTACTGACTAATCAAAGTTCTAAGAAGAATATGTGACTTATGGAGTCAACCAGTTGAGGTGAATCAAGTACCACAAATGATATTTTTAGATGATGATCGTGTATTTACATAAATTACTTGAAATCGATGAAAATGTAAACCACTGGACCCCTCCTATGCAATGATCTAATCATGTCATTCTCGTTCAGAGGCTTGAATGTTTAAAGTCTGAACCTTTTACCAGTTATAAGTACGCACTGTTGAGACGGATGGAATTTACTTTTAGCAACAAATACTGTAGGAAATCCGCTTCGTTGAAATGTAAGGTCGACAAAAATAATAATTAAAATCTCTCACAAAAACTAAACCAATCATTTTGGCATTGGTTAAAAGACCCTCTTCGCAAGATTGTCTTTTTGAGGAACCTGAGCTAAAATAGAAAAATTGTGGTATACAGGTTTGATTTCAAGTTTATGACCTTTAATCATGGTTTCACGATATTCAATTGAGTCTGCAAAACATTAGCTAAATCATATTACACAAGCCACAACACATTGAACAGGCACATAAGAACGATTGAAGTTCTCAGTCACAGTGTAAAAACAATTAAGTTGTTTACACCCCATTAAGGATCAAGCCATATGACAATTAAACATGATTTCTATGAAAACTAAAGAATACATATGAAACAAATCGAAAGTATCAACGTTTGACTAGTGAATAAATACAATAGAATTTACAATTTATTAAACTTTCTCTCCGTAACAGAATATACACTCTAAATGACAAACAGAAAAATAAACGTATACTGATACAATAACTTAAGAAAAATAATTGTTTATTTTATTTTATTTTTACCTTATCACAAAGTAAACTGAATACTCTTTCTGTATGATCTCTGATAGATTGAGATGACCAACACATTGTCAATGAAATAGAATCTTCTATAGCTCGTTTAGTTATGAACTGATCTGACTGGTCAAATGCTGTTGTTGTTGTGGTGTACTTTGATAACAGTAAACTAGATTGATTATGATTGAAATGCATTAATCTAACTGGTTGTAATATTCGTATAGACCACCAATAGATCATTGGTATATAAGTATATAATTCATGGTTAAGATTAGAATGCCACTGATCAACAATGAAAGTACTACATATAATTGCTTCAATAAATTTATTATGAGCTCGTATTATATAAGGTGAAATCAGTGGATTTGACAGTAAGTTGACAAATAAAATAGATAGTTTATGACAAAAATGCTTGATAATTTGTCCAGCTTCTTGATAATAATAATAAATTGGTAGAGAATGATTATTCGATTGGTAAATCAATGCATTTAATGCATTAATGAGGATATCACACATGTGTTTTGCTTTTATATCAAGCTAAAAAGAAACAAAAACAGTTTAATATTAGCTTTAGGCATAGACTTATGAACAAAACAAAAGATATGTACACACAATACAATCGTGTATAACACATACATCATTAACAGAGGAGAAGAGAAAGCAGTCAACTGTGTCACAAGACAAGCCCTCAAATGGGGTCCTCAAGGTCAAAAGAAAAAACACATGACACCAAGAAATGGAGACAGACATGAGAAGAATGAACAAAAATTGGATAGAACTGAAAAAAGGGAAGCCCAGGATAGAGTAGGTTGGAGAATACTGGTCAGTGGTCTATGCTCCACTAGGGATAACAGGCGCAAATAAGGAGTAAGTAAGTAAGTACAGAGAAATTTCTTTGAAAATGGCAAATCAATGCAACTCAACTTGATTACATGGTGAATGAAAATAAAGGACAGATTGAAGTGATGATAAGTCGTATAAACTACATAGTGGAGATTTAAAATTGAGTGTGCAGTAAATCTAACAGTAGAGACAATGTGACAGATTATGCACAATGTATGTGGATAACAGTTTTTGATTCTGAATTAGTAGGCCATTCGAAGGGATTTTCACTTCACCGTGGTGCATATACCAGTACTGATTACCTAAAAAAACAGAAAACTTACTGATTGCATAGATTTTCGTATTTCATTCTCCTTATTTAATTCATTACGTACAAATTCCAATTGTTTTTCAGTTAATTGACCAGTTAATTTATCCAAAATGAGTGTCGTCTCATCATTAGACTGTTCTTGTGAACGTTGTAATTGAGCTGATAAACTATCCATTTGTAAATCATAAGGATATAATTTATTTTCACGTTTAACATTAACCCAAGAAGTTTCATATTTTGGTAGACTAAAACGTTAATAAAAGCACATATACTTATGTAACTCTATTTTATTTATGATAATTATATTATAAGTTAATTACTAAAATTAATTTATTCAATTACACTTTAGTTGTTCATATTAATCTAGAAAGAAACATATATATTACGGTGTCGGTGTAGTATGAGGAAATGTGACTACTGAAAATAACTGAATACAAAACTGATAAATGAAAGATTTTAGTTAGGCTACATAAAAAAATTCGAAACAGTAGATGAGTAGCTGAAGCACTCAAAATTTAACAGTAGATTTTTTAAAGCTTAAAATCCTTTTCTGTGCGACAGGATAGTGTTGGGGAACTTAGATCCTAATTTTTGAATTTTTATTTTTTTGAGCATAAGTTGCTTAGTTGACCTTCAGCTTACATTTCCCACCAGGAAATTCCGTGACTGTCATTGGTTGATGTGTTATTTTAGTACGCTGTTTTTGTGGTTTGTGTGCTTGTTGACCTCGTATTTTCCGGGTGCTTGTAGAATACACTTTCTACGCCTTATCAAGACTTCTTGATATAGTTGGCCGGGTCGGGGACAAACGTATTAGGGTAGCCTATCGTGTCACTGAGTCATTTGTCTTCGCTCTCGTTTACCAACTAAGGTAAACTCGTAATAGTTCAAGCATATCAGATAGTATTGCTGGCCCATACACAAAATATGTTGTACCCAGTCAGTTAAGGTGATGGTAATTAAAATGGTCTATAATACTGAAAAACCAATGAAACATAAAAATTTATTTTTTATGTTAGTTTAGATTTTTACGTAAATTTCTATTTCAGAATAAGTATAGGCAGGGAATAGTGTGGATAAACATTCATCAGTGTACACCACTACGATTCTATGATTCTATAAACTAAACATTTACAAATAGACAAAGAGATAAGGATACCTTTCAAGAAGTTCATAATTGAAAAGTTGACCTTCTGGTGTCAGCATAATTTGAACATCTTTTTCACTAATTGATGTAAATGATTCTGAACAAAAATTCGAATATATTTGTTCAATTAAATTTTGACCAATACCAATAGGTGACCATTTGATTAATCGTTGAAGTGCATATCGATCTGCCTAGAAAATGTAAGCAAGTGTAACCATCACAGTACATGAAATATAAAGAACAATCTATCCCTGACTAATCGATGGAATATTTAAGATAGTGACTGAGGCTTTTCGCAGAAAATTCAAAAGACAATAGAAAATATTTATTATAAGCAGACTTAAATGATGACTAGCAGCAGAATCCAACAGGTGCATTTCGTAGCGGACTTGGGATTTGCTGACTGGAAGCATTCAATAGTTGATGTTTACTCCGTACTGCTTGCTTCAAATAATATCGCGTTATCTACTTAGCTGTTCAGTCCATAGGCTTGTGTAATCCAGTACATGTTAATTCATTCATGAATGAGATACAAGATATCATTATGCTTATGGTTGAGTCTTTCGTAAGCAAGCTTTATTTAGAATCAGTAAGCCGTATAAAACTGATTACCAAATAAAGACCTACTGAGTCATGATACAGTGAAAACGACATGACATGGAAAGAAATACTACAAGGAAAAGCGATTTAATGAGAATTCATCGCTTTTTTCTCTGTTTTAAGTAAAACCAACGACCTTACATTGCATTTTTTAGTGGCATAAATTATCGGAGAAAGTTATATATTCCTTTCAGATCGCAATTGAACTGTAAATGTGTTTTCTACACGCGATTTACAGTTAAAAGTAACCTGACGAAGAAATCAAAACTAAACTGATTGATAGAGTGAATAAGTCTTGGTAGCGAGAATATCTTATCTTAAGATAGGAAAAATTTATTACTTTTTTTTAAATGGTAGATACCTGTAGTATACATTGATCAATAAAAGAGAATGAAAAAAATCTAAATTCATTGCTAACATCGCCGTCATCATCATTGCATAGTCTAATCATCTACATGATCTTCGATTTTCAGTGGTTGTTTTAAAGCCAGGTAGTGAATGAATGTTTAACATAAATTAAATAAGTCAATCAATAACAACGTAGAACTTCGTACGTACGTACATCAGTTCAAGTTGTCATACCACATTAGCACAGAGACGCTATTTTGAATTCAAATCCCATAGTAGTAGAGGTGGTAGAAGTATTAGCAGTAATCGGAAATTTTAGGGTTCGACCATATGATTCAAGAAGTAGAATCTAGTGAAATAAACTTAAAAGAAAAGGATGAAGGTGATGAGGAACTCAGAAGGTTAGGATTTGAGAGAATACAGAGAGTGGATAAACCTGTACCATTGCAAACGGTTTTGGGCCATGTTATTCAAAATTCGTAACCATCGATTACTATTATCTCGTGGACCCCAACCAGGTAGTCGACACTTAACAACATGACTCACTCCACTTGTCAGTGACTTCATGGATCTCTGTCATTTTTTCATTTGGCCGCCCCTAGTTTTCTGCCAACCTATTCCTATATCGCAAAGCATAGCTCGACGAGGCAGTCGGTGGTTAAGCATACACAACACATGTCCTAACCACCTCAACTGATAAAGTTTCACTGCTTCACCTATGGATTTGCTATCCCTTCCTAGTAATTGTTTCCTAACGACAGCATTGGTTACTCGGTCGTCCCAGGATACATGAGCAATGCTTCGGAAACACCTACGATCGAAAACCAGCAACCTACGAATATCTTCTACTCTCACTGGCCATGTTTCGCAGCCATAAATCCACATATATTCCAGTTCGCTTACATCTAACCTTGGTTAAGCACTTTCGATTAATTTACTTAACCAAGCCATTCGCGTTGCAACAATTTATATGTACCATTCGTTCTTATTATTGTCTGGTTTGTATGAGCTCACATGACGTGTCGCACTTGTCATTTGACCTTGTCAACTATTCGTCGCTTTTATTCATGTGTGCCTATTTTACTTATCTCATGTCTGTCTTATATTTGTCTGACTATATATTCTTAGTCACGCTCTATCTCTTGGAGTTGGCTCATTAGCCTTCTCCAATTCACGTCGTTTTGTTCGCTTTATTCGCTGCTTTTGAACTTCACTTTGTGGTGTGTCCAAAAATAAACGTATTCAACACTACGAGTTTACCTTCTGATTTCTAAACCGTCAGACGCTATTTAGTAACGATTGTCTGGACGAGCTAATTACCGAGCTTAAGAGCACGCAGTAAATCGACACACTACAGTTTCACAAACTTCAAAGAACTAAATACAAGTTATGATGTTCCATGATGTTCTTTGTTCGGTAGCAATCAAGTTAAATATCAATTACGATTGAATTGACCATGCTTCTCATTGAAATGAATTTCAACGAGTATTATTTAATTAACTGATTCAATAATAAAAACATGTAAGGCATCATCGCATAATATAGGCAATCGATTGAATGTTACAAAACAAATAAATAAATCACTAACTGGAATCAAATATGGTTGTTTCATAAAATATTGAACAATTTTTGACCAGTTGTTAACAACCAATGAAGTGATTCCCATAGAATCACTACAATTTTCATTGAATAATTTTGGTAGGTTAAGTTTCGACTGTAAGTGTTCCCATAGCATAGGTCTGACATCAACTGGAAGAAGTGTAGTAAAGAAATATATTTTTGAAAATACATTAATATCGACTGAATGACAACATGAAAACATACAAACTGATGATGTACTTACTGGTGAATAATTTAAAAGTGTAACTTTCATATGACATTAACACTTTGCAAACAATGAAATATCCAGCCATGAAATTAGAAATCTATTCACCAGAATAAAACATTGAAATCGAGTAAACGGGAGGTTTGAGGAGGGGAAACCCTTCAATCTCGAACTTTTAATCGAAAAATAAATTTACTGTGAGATAACGTTTCCCAGAATCAGTCAAAATTGCTATCTTTAATCCAATGTTCTGAATCTTTCACCTCTATTGACTGAATGTTAAGCAGACATCAACATTTCCCCTTGTCATTATCATTGACCATAGCTGCGTTAAAACGTTTTTTCTTTGTTTAGGTTAAAGTAACTGTGGGAAATATTGCGTACTTTTGTTGAGTTCGGTTCACAGAATTTCGTAGTCTGGTTAAATACATAACAGGAGCTTAGTATCTGAATGTATAAATGCCTAATATATAAACTAATTAATATGGAGAAGGATCTGTCCCACTATTAATATTCCAAAAGGAACGACAAAGTATGCAGTAGTGTCTAAATGAACGAGCTATAGAGTGCCTTATTCTTCGCGTTGGTAAAACAAAATGTAAAATATCAGTAGTGATCATAATAATAATAATTCCATAAGCAAATATACTTACGAATACATGGATGGCTGGTGCAAAATACGCTCAAAGTGAACACATCCAGTAAATAACGCATACAAAATGGCGAAGAAGCATCTGTGTTTTCTTCAGAAATTCGACGAGATTTGGATACCGCAGAAGATGATGGTAAAACTAGGACATTAATAAGTTGACATAAATAGGAACCAATACATTTACTGCGACCAATCGGTTGTTTAGTAGTTTGTAGTTCAGAATTTGGATAAACAGCATTATCCCAAACATTAATTCCAACAAAATCAGTTATTGGTAAGCATAGGTGTTCAGCAATCAATCCTGAACCTAGAACTAACAGACTAGACGAAGATGATGAAGATTGTAAGATAGTTGGATAATTTATAAGTAGGATATGTAGATGTTTTAAAAAGCCCATAGTCAGCTGATAACGATGTTCTTCATTAGAATTTTTCAATAATTCAATAATACTGTCAAGATTCCTCTGGCGTACAGTATCATAAAATGGATGAATACAAAGAAGGAGTAGCGTTCTATAAATCGGACTAGAACAAATAGGAGAAAAATAAGAAAGAGAGAGAGAGAGGTTATCTTATTGAAATGAGATATCAAAATAATTGAAATTTTTTTCAATCAATGAAGACAATAACAATAAACATCATAATAATTAATGATAAATTTACCCTAACACTTCACCAGGAATGAATGTATACAGATCGGAAAGAAGTAATCTGAACAGACGACCGACTGCACACAAAACTAAATGAAGAAAAAAAACAAAATGAAAACATTTTTGGTTTTTTTTATTCGACTCCTTTTTTCTAACAACAATCTTACATAATAGTTAGTGTAAACAAATAAACAAAGACACAGATTGATGGCAAACACTAAATATTATGATTAAAAATTGTCTCAAACACAAACTGACGACATCAACTGGAGTAGCAAGGGGTTTCATTAGTCGGTAGCGTGCTGTTACGGGTATGAGGGCGGTTGTCACTTCCCGGCTGCCCACACCGTGGAAGGTTGTTTCTTGAGGGACCTGAAAAGGAAGATGGATTAGTGTTGGTGCGTGACCGCAGAGCCCAAGGGACAACTGCTTGAGGCCGGTCACGCACGGCCTTTTTATGAAAGGTAGCGGCAAAAAACTATCTTCAAACTTTACAAAATCGCTATGAAATGAATTAGATTGAACGACACTATAATGTGTACCTTCTTAATGATCTATCAAGGAAATATTTTTATTCAACTTGTGAAACTTCAAATACGAAAAATAAGATAATATCATATCAGATGATTGTTTCGCTATTCAATCCGTTTTCATTGTGGTAGAATAATCTATGTAACCTTTTAGATAAAATCAGAAATGTCATATATTTTACAATAAACTAGGTTGAACAGATTTCTGCTTTTATCTCAGGAAGTAACTGCAATTGTTTTTGGAAATTCTGATATCATGAATTAGTATTATAAAACAGAGATGAATGGTCATTGGTAGGAGAATGAAAGACGTGCGTTTTATCCGACTTGGGACTTGTCAACTGGATATATAAGCATCTTAGAGACGGTGTTCACTCCAGAACTTGGACCAGTACCGTTCACTTGGAACACTATCGTATTATCCATTTAGCTATTAAGTCCAGATAGCCACTGGCTTGTACAATGAAGTGAAGTTTAATCAATCTGTATTGGAGCGGATAACACAACCGAGCTTGAAGTGAATGGTACTGGGTTCGAGTATCAGAGTGAACGTTAACTCTTGGATGTAGATGTATCGAGCTGGCGAGTCTCAAACAGGACAAGACGCATGTCCTAGACTCCACTGGTAACCAGCAACTATCCTTTCTGATAATGCTTGTGACTTGATGGCAACATTGAGGCAATCTGCTTAGGATGCACATATGCCAACAAACTGATTAATTGCAGTCTTAAACATCAATAAGAAAATTCAAATAACTAATATAAATGAATTATGCTTTTGAGGATGATTAAGTATGGTTTCAGGCAAAACATATGAGATATCAGTTATAATAAATAATGGGTTTTATCAGTCATTTTCAACGGTAGATTACTTGAACAACTGAAAATCATTGCCAACCAAATCGGATTACAACTTTTTTCAACATAACTAGTTAAAGGAAACTTTAGTTTTGTCAGGCTATTCAGTTATTTGACACCTACATTTTGGTTTGGATTTTCCTTTATTGTCTTGAATGAATATGTCTTACACTAGAAAAATATATTTATACGGCCTCTTCTTTTACTGTGGCCATCTGATTACATATTTATTGATGTAGAACCAAAATAATGATACAATTGAAAAGAGATTTTTGCTTATTCAATCTGTATACAACGTACACGATAGTTATGTAAGGAATATAAATAAAGTCTCGTATAACCCTGCTGCTATGCAGTGGAAATTTCTCCAAATGGGAATGCACGCTAACATTATACTTTCAAACAAGTTGTCAACTTTTGATGAGATTTGGCCTAAAACTTTAGTTTCTTATGATTCAGGCTGTCAACTATATTCAAAGTCCCATCGAATACATACTAGAAGGTAATTTCTAACTCCACTCGACCTACACTGTATAAGGTTAATGCACAGTTTATAGATTTGACAAGAATGAAGTTTAGCTTCGTATTGATAAATACAAAAAATGACTACAGTCAGCAGATACGATTATCAACCTAAGGACAAGAATATTTAGGATTCCTTGGATTTAGCTTCATCAATCATAAGATTTTGTTGATGTACATAACTAGACAAGGAATTTCTAATGATGAATAGACATGTACATTTGACTACATATCTATGAACTTTTTTTGTAGAAAATTTATATTTCTCAACATAGTAAGATTGGTCAATGCAGTTTGATTCGAAACTGTGATTTCTGATTAAAACATATAAAATGACAGCTAAGAGATAATTCAGTGGTTAAAGCGTTAGGCTTTCGATCACCAAAATAACAGAGTTGAACTAAGCTCCACCTATTTAGGGTTAGGGTGATCAGGTAGCATCACTTAGCTCTGACTTACAGACAAATACATAAAACTTTACCTGGTAGATGAGTTAATTAAATTAGTCAAGAAAGCTTAATCAATTTACTAAAATAAATTTAGTACCATAGAATGGTGCAGTCTGTAGAAACTTTTCAGTAAACCATGGACAACGCTTATTATTAGTTCCTGACACATTTGACAGCATATTCCAAAAAGGTGAAGATTTAATAATTGACTTGAACGACTCTTCTGTAATAGGTAATTTTATTGTAGACAGTGTATAACGTAACCAAATCGATGATGCCATAACAGATTTATGAGTAGCTGGTGAATGAAAAGGTTGACCAGATGCTTGTTCGATTGATCCTAAAAGATTTGGAATAATAGCTGTGGGCAATTTATTTCCAGGTACACCTAAAATAAAAGAAATATTATCAGACAATTTTGATTATAATATTGTAAAGATATTATGCATAAAAAGTATGAAAATATCATTAGTTATATCTAAATTGTCAGAAAAGATTTTTTTAAAGCTGGTAAACCAAGTCTGAATCATTTATTACTCAAATTCATAAAATTATAGCATTGTAATAGTAGATCGAAGTCTTTGTTAACTAAATTTTTAATACTATAAAAAAGTTTCTTCAGTACTTGTCTTAAATGGATTTGAGCCTGATACGCCTGCACGTAAACACGTCAACTTGATATACTTGAACTATTACGAGTTTACCTAGTCAGAAAACGAGAGCGAGGATCGAGGATCAGGCGACAAGACATGCTACTCAAATCCGATTATTACAAACCCCATATTTAGTTAAAATAAGAAGACGTGATATGAAGTAGAACCTGTATTCTACAAGCATCCAGAAAGTACGAGGTCCGAATTCAGAAGAGAATCAGGATCCTGGACTAGGGATCCGGGACCGAGCCCTGGTCCTGGTCATGGTCATAAAACGTTACACAAAATGCGTATTTATACGTTTTGGTCGAATAGGAAACAGCATCGAAGTCTGTGACATTGAGAGTTAAGACGACCAATAGGGAGCAACATTTGAAGTGACATTGATAGTCAGGACAACCAATAAGGAACTACATTGGAGCACGTGACATTGATATCTAGGACGACCATAAAATTGACCAGTAGGAATTGACCAATAATTCTCTTAGGATATTGGATGAATATCCTAACAGAACCAAAAGATAGGGTGTAATTTTACTTCGTCAAAAGTATTAAGTAGGTAGGTCAGTCAAACGCACCATAGAACTTGATACATGTGTATTGGTTCAAGCTGCCATACCACATTAGCAAAGAGACAAAATTATTTTAAGATAAATCTCAGAGTAATTCAAATAGTAATATCAGTTTTGGCAGAAAGGATTAGCTATAGGAAAAGAAAAAACTTTTAAGTAGATTTCGGAACTCAGATTCTAAAGAAAAACAAAAAGTGAATGTACTTGCGTTATTATAAACGATTTCAAGTTGTATCATCCAAAGTCACTAACCATTGGTTATGATCGTCTCATACAGCCCCCTCCCAAACAGCTAGTCTGCAGCTTTTAACATTCACTCAGTCCAATTGTCAATGACTTCATAGACTGGTGCAACATATTGATTTGGTCTCTCCTAGCTTTCTTCAAGTATACTCCTATACTACACAACATCACCCATCGATACAGGCGGTGGTTAGTTATGCGAAACTGTTACGCCTGCACGTAAACACGTCAACTTGATATACTTGAACTATTACGGATTTACCTAGTCGGAAAACGAGAGCGAGGATCGAGGATCAGGCGACAAGACATACTACTCAAATCCGATTATCCCAACCCCCATATTTAGTAAAAATAGGAAGACGTGATATGAAGTAGAACCTGTATTTTACAAGCATCCAGAAAGTACGAGGTCCGAGTCCAGAAGTGAATCAGGACCCCGGACTAGGGATCCGGGACCGGGTCCTGGTCCTGATCCTGGTCGTGGTCATAAAACGTTACACAAAATGCGTATTTATACGTTTTGGTCGAATAGGAAACAGCATCGAAGTCTGTGACATTGACAGTTAAGACGGCCAATAGGAAGTAACATTTGAAGTGACATTGATAGTCAGGACAACCAATAAGAAACAACCAATAGGAATTGACCAATAATTCTCTTAGGATATTGGATGAATATCCTAACAGAAACACATGTTATAACCATCTTAGATGAAGACTGACAACCCATTAATTGATTTGCAACAACTAACTAGTGCCATAGACCAATTCAAGGTATTGCTCACTCGGTGACCCAAAATACACAAGTGACGTTCCGAAGACGCCTATAAAAGAATACTAGTAACCTACGGATATCTTCTCTTCTCGATGGCCTTGTTTCACACCTGTAAAGTAGAACGAAGAGAACTGCTGCTCAGTGAACTCATTCTTTGGTTGGCTAAGTTACAAGTGATGCAAGTTAGCAAAATAAATCGAGCTTTCTGTATCCGTGTCGAGATTTCATCAGGTATCATCTAGTCAAAAGTATTACTAAAAAGGTAGCGTTTTTCCCGAAGATGTGAATAACTGATGAAAGTGTGAACAACAAAATTAAACTGAAAAATTAAAAATCGATATAGACGGCAAACTAATTATTTGTTAGCGTGATTGATAAAAAATTCAATCAGTCAGTTGCAACGTATAACTTCGTACGTATGTACAAAAGTTCATGTTCCCATACCACATTTGCATAGAGACGCAAATGTCAAATCAAACCTCATAGTGATAAAGATAGTAGAGGTATTAATGGTAATGAAGAAGACTAGGGTTCGAAGATATTATTCAAGAAGTATAATTCAGTGAGATAAGATTAGAAAGACAAAGGTAGAGGTGCTGACGAATCCAGAAGATTAGGATTTGAGAGAGCACAACGAATGGATGCACATGTGCCATTGCAAACGATTTTGAGCCATGTCGTTCAAGGTCTCTAACCATTGGTGACTTTCGTCTCGCGGACCCCAACCAGATAGTCTACATCTACCAACATGACTCAGTCCACTTGTCAGTGACTTCATGGATTTCTGCCATGTTTTAGTCTGGCCGCCCGTAGCTTCGGTCGGGAATGTACTTGCGTCATTATAAACGATTTCAAGTTGTATCATCCAAAGTCACTAACCACTGGTTATGATCGTCTTATGCATTCTCTCCCTACCAGCTAGTCTGCACCTTCTAACATTCACTCAGTCCAATTGTCAATGACTTCACAGACTGGTGCAACATATTGATTTGGTCTTTCCTAGCTTTCTTTAAGTCTACTCCTACACTACACAACATCACCCATCGATACAGGCGGTGGTTAGTTATGCGAAAAACATGTTATAACCACCTTAGATGAAGACTTACAACCCATTAATTGATTTGCAACAACTAACTAGTGCCCTAGGTCAATCCAAGGTATTGCTCACTCGGTGACCCAAAATACACAAGTGACGTTCCGAAGACGCCTATAAGAGAATACTAGTAACCTACGGATATCCTCTCTTCTCAATGGCCTTGTTTCACACCTGTAAAGTAGAACGAAGAGAACTGCTGCTCAGTGAACTCATTCTTTGGTTGGCGGATAGATGATATCTTGACTACGTTACAAGTGATGCAAGTTAACAAAACAAATCGAGCTTTCTGTATCCGTGTCAGGTATCATCTAGTCAAAAGTATTACTAAAAGGGTAGCGTTTTTCCCGAAGATGTGAATAACTGATGAAAGTGTCAACGACAAAAATTAAACTGAAGAACTAAAAATCGATATAGACGGCAAACTAATTATTAGTAAGCGTTACTGATAAAAAAAAAGTATTGTACCAACTAAAGAGAGATCTATGCATGATACTTAAGATTAAAGAAATTATTAGATACTTATTATTAATAGTAACAAGATAACTTACCATTAGATAATGCTGTATCCAAGCACATAAGTAAGACTGAATGGACCGACGCAGATGTCTTGTTTGAGAAGGCGTGTGACTAAATAAGTAAATAATGGGATAAAAGATTTTATTAGTGTATTACAATCAGACTATTAGAGCATTGTGGACGACAAATGACTCTTCAGTACGATATTGACTATTGCCAAATTAAGACTGTGATCAACGTTCAAGCGGTGTCATCTACTTCGTTTCACTTTTATGAAGCGGAGCATTGTACAATGAAGTTTACAATTGTCTTTTAGAGGTCACATGAATGTTGTAAACATTTTAAGGCGGGAAAATGATTGAGTTTTTTATGATTAGGATATGTAGTTGAAAAACAGCATAGTGAGGTACAACTCCGGAAGTATTAGAAAGAATTAAGAATAACGATCGAGATACTCTATAAAGTTGGAATAATCTTCTACTGACGTTTGGGTTTAGTTGTTTCTTTGACATGTTTTTACGATATATTTGACAGTCGAGAATACCAGTCACTAGAGAAACAACTTAAATTTAAAAAGCAGATGAGGTAAAATTCATTGAAACAAATCAAAGATAATGTGAAACTTCATAACATAAATAAACTCTCAAAGATTGTACAAAAATTGAATTACCTTTATGAAATTAAAGAAACGATCAGGAGCGTTCGATTTTAATCGATGTAGCCATTTGACTAATTGTTTAGCAGTGTAAATGATCCCCTCTTCATATGCTAAAATGGAGAATTAGTAATTAATGTGAAGTTTACTATTAATAAGTTGTTAAACACAAAATCAGGTAAGGATTAATCACTTTAGTTTAGAAATGTTTTTTGCTCATGAAACATGGTTTCTTCAAGCTGGAGATAGTAAGTGACTCTATGTGACCCATCATTTTTGTCTCTGAACAAATGCTAACCTTTCGTGGTAACACCATGTTAGTAATACTGAGGTTCGGCAATGTGTGTTTAGGCACAGTGGCGAGAATTCAGTTAATATCACCATCTTGAAACACCAACTTTAGTGGCTTGGATACATATTACATATGTCATGGCACCGATTCTTACACCACGGTTTATCCACCAACGCTGGGACTGGTTGAAAAAAGTGAGGATGTGGTCAGTTTATGACGTGGCACTGTGTTATGGAGGAAAGGTGTATAGAGATGGCATCTGTCAGTCCATCAGTACTCTTTGGTTGTGGTCCGAGAGATAGTGTAAACTGGTGTTTTGGGATGTATATCATACATGGTTCAGAATAGAAACCAGTGGTAGTTATGATGTCAATTCCCTTTACTTGATTCATAAGGGTTAGAGGAACTTTGTTAACTAAAAGGATTTTTTCTGGTTGTATTTTTCTTGACCGAACTGTTTCTTTTATCATACACTACTCACATGCACTAGTATCCTTTGTCTAGTTCTTCTTTATCATGTTCTTACTTGTATGGTGTGTACTTATTTTGATGCTCATTCATACAGACTGTGCACCAGTTCGCTCCGTCCTGCTATTTGGATGGGACATGTGTTACAAATGCCCAACAACCAGCTGCCTCGACGGGCGAATTTTTGTGGTGTAGGAGTAGGATCGAAGAAACCTAAGGGTGGCCAAACCAAAACATGACACAGATCCATGAAGTCACTGACAAGTGGACTGAGTCATGTTGGTAAATGTCGACTGCTTGGTTGGGGTCCACGAGATGATAGTAATCGATAGTTAGAGACCTTAAATGACATGGCTCAAAATCGTTTGCAATGGTGCAGGTGCACTCATTCTTTGTGTTTAATCAAATTCTAGTCTTCTGAATTCCTGACAACCTTCATCTTTCGCTTTTTAAATTTATTTCACTGAATTATATTTCTTGAATAATATCTTCGAACCCTGATTTTCTCCACTACCGCTAATACTTCTACTACTACGGGATTTAAATTGACAATCGCGTCTCTGTGCTAGTGTGGTATGGCAACTCGAACTGATGTACGCACCTACGGAGTTCTACGTTGTAGCTGACTGACTGTGGCTTGAAGGCAAGTATATGAATTTGTACTTGACAAGTACGTTGACATGAAGCAAGCATTTATTTAAAAAATGTTTAGACAGATATATTGGTATATCCAATGAGATTTACATTTTTTAATAAACTCCATATCATTAGTCAGCCAGTCAGAAAAGACAGAACTTTCTAGGTACGTAGATCAGTTTAAGTTGCACATTAGTACATTAGCACAGAGATTCAATCGTCAGTTCAAATCCCATAGTGGTACAGGTAGTAGCAGTATTAGAGGAAATGGAAAAGATTACGGATAGAAGGTATGAATCCAGAAGTATATCACAGGGAAATAAATTTAAAAAGAGAAAAGATCTCGTGAATAATTCAGAAGATTTACCATACAGTGAGATAATGTACCTCTTAGATTTTCACAAATAATAACATGAATTGACAATTTAGGAAAAAGAAACATTAACAGGGAAAATTAGGCATAAAACTACACAGTATGCTACATCTATAACCTCAACTAAACAATGATTTCAAGATAAACAAGCATTTCTTGGTTTATTTTAAATGCAACTACTTATTTTGCTTTTGGATTTCGGATAAAACTTGAGATAACCCCGATGACAATAGAACATGTATAAAAGATATGCTGATACGGAGACATAGACATTGGATTATGACAACACTAGGCAATTCTTATCTTGGGTCATTTGTAAATCATGTTACCAAAACAACTTGGAACAACCATATTCACATATCGGTACTGCTCATTCGCTCTCTAAGGTTCAAGCAAATAAGCTGTTACAGACGCACGTAATTTTTGAACAAATCTGCAATATATGTATCGGCTGTTTGAATGAATTTAATGACCTTGATATTGTGACTGAATAGTTATCAACCGATTATTTAGACCACTGACCAAAGGGCATATAAAATATGTCGTTGAGTAGTGCCTCTTTTGTCTTAGAGATAGTATAAAATTCAGTGTATTAAGTTATGAGATTTTTATCTAGTTTTATTATTCACATTAGCTACCAACAAATAATTTGTTTAAAAAACTTAACTGAAACAAAAAATATTCCACAAATAACGAAGTTTTTCTTGTTGGTCGAGGCAAAAAGAAATAATCTTATAGACTGAGAATGTACATGTTCCGTAAGTGTTTAATAGATATTCTTCATTTTCAAGAAAACATTCAAAAACAACTTTAATTAAATTCTAGACTAGGGATAAAAGCATCTGATCGCGGAAAGCATTATGAGAGATTACCAATACTGTTAAATCAGAAAATGTTAAGAAATGCTGAAGACCAGGTAGGTTTTCAAATATTACAGTTCATCATTTGGAGTAAAATAAAATATTAAGAAATATACGATTAGTAATACATAAATAAAGTACAATAACAATTAAACATATGAAAAAAAAAAGTTTTAGGTATAAAACTTACTTTCGTGCTCCAAATGATCTATAAGTAAGTTTATAGCTACGGTTGTAACGCGATCTGAAGCGGATTTCTGTTTTATACCATTTATAGAAAGTTCACCGAAACATGTAATTGCAGCGAACCTTGATTCTTGACTTGCTTTCTTACCCTCAGATCCAGCGAACTGTGCATGAACCTAAGAAATAATTAATTTCAGAAAGCGACTGTTATGTACATGTGAATCAAAGAGAAAAATATTGTAGTTGATTGTTTTGTCTCTAGAAAGACTATTCTAACTAAATGAAAATGAGTATTCACAGCGGTCACATAATTATTTACTAAGTACCTATCCGAATTAGAGTAGCAGTACCAAGTATTAATCTTTTGAGAAACTAGGTGTTTAGGATAACTGAATCACAAATAATATTGGCAAGACTAAAGTGAGGTTGAATTTCTCGGCTTCACACCAAAGCACGTCTAGATGGTAGACAAAACTATTCAGTCAATGTTCAAAAGGATGAAAATAGAAAACCTTCTTAGTTTTAACTAAATCTTGGGGCAGAGTTTTGGAGGTTTGCGTTTTTACACATTTGAAATCATCAATCAATCATTGTTAGGCCACCATTAGAAACCTGGAAGCACTGGACGGCCGTTTCGTCCTGGTATGGGACTCATCAGCAGTGCGCATCCACGACTCCTGCTCCTCGCAGGATACGAACCCGGGACCTTCGGCATCGTAGGCGAACGCCTTACCATCGGACCACTGGGCCGGCATCCAACGGTGTTAATGTCTAACTAAATTATTATTAAAAGATCCACAAATTTGAAATAGGATCAGTAGAAAAAATCGTTTTCTCAACGTCATTTAATAAAGCCGAATACTTTTATTTGTGTTTATGTACGATTACCTACTGTGAAATAGATTTGTAACGCATTATCAGTCGTGTGTTTGAGATGTACACGTGAAAAATGGGTTGGGTGACGAAATCGCTCCAATGTCCTAACAGAAACGCCTTATATCAATGTGTCGTTACATTTTATTTGGATCATATACGACAAATACAAATGAGTTTACATTAAAACTCAACGAAAAGCACCTTACAAGTTTGCATAGAGAAGAGAGAGTGTCAACTTCCGAACACTTCTTTGAGATTGTACATAACATCGCAATAGCATCCTTTCTGGTTATGTCTGATACAGCATGCAGATTTTTTACAACCGATTGAGCTAGGTCCATCGCACAAAGATCCAAAGTGAAAGATAAATCTTCGAGCAATGAATTTACAGCTGAAAGAATGAAAACGTGGTAAAATGTGAATACAGTATTAGAAACTGCGGCAATAAATAACAAGTAATATAGCTACTAGTGTATAAATACAGTTGTTTTGCCTAAAGTTATCAGCACAAATTTGTCAGAAAATATCGGTTTGTATACAAGATGGAGTAGAATTGAAAAGGACTTATAGAATTTTCTGACAACACATCTGTTAAATCTAAACACATACAATTTCAAGTACCAACAACGAACAGCTTAACAACACTATGCACTACTTAGTGATAGTAAACTTCGCAATAACAATAAAGCCTGTGATAGTAAAAGGGGAAATCAGAACAAGTACTAGCAGGTATGTTGGATTTTAAAGTGGAACATGAAGTAAATGTAGCGATGTCAGTCGGAATGACTCAGTATGAATTTTGGAAGTCGATTATAAACTTAAAACCGGAAACACGTATTCATTACTCCAAATTTCGAAACCTCACTCCAGTAAAAATGTCAACAACGCTATCAGCGCAGACTGGGAAATGGCATTGTAAGTAATAGAAATCTAAACATAAAGAATACAACTCATATAGGACTGGTAAAATAGGACGATGGAAGGCTAAATAGACCACGGGGAGTACATGGAACGAATGAAACAGAGTTTTTGTACCATACCATCCGTAGTCACCGACAATCGACTGCGCAGCCCTCAAACAAGAAATCTGCACCTTGAGACATGAACTACAACAAAGCATGTCTTTACTTGCCCAATCTACGATTCTCTCAAACCTAACAGCCAACAGTGAATGTCGAGAGAGTGGTGGTTAGACATTACAAACACGAATTAATAAGCTCAGCCGATGGTATATACCTTCATAATCTGATATGAGCTTTTCGCCTGATACATTGAAGCTAACCTTAGCAGAACTTACTGAGTGACTGCATATTCACCCATGACCAAATAATTGTAATGCTTCTATATTCTAGGTTTTGTAACTGTAGAGTGGAATTCGGTAACATACTTGCTTCTCAGCCAGTAGACGAACTCCGTTTATACCAACAGGTGGAGTCAGTTAGCAAGACTAAACATTTCTCACTCGTATATAGATCCGATAAGGAACAAACGTAAAAGGACTGAGACACAGAATATAAAAATGCTGAGTTGTTGATTGAACACTTTTATTTCCAGTCCTATATTTTCCCACATATCCAAAACTTTTTGTTTTTACTTGGAAGGCTGGGCTCGGAACAGTCCAGAAAAAGTGGTTTGCCTTGATACAAGAAACTTTAAGATCTAGAGGTATATCTTTCCAAGACGAACAGATTAACAAGAAGAAACGGTACGTTCAGATAAAAACTGTGTTAGCATGGCTTAGATTGGACTAAAGAGTCTCTATGTTCAAGCACGCTGATTGGCACATTCTTAGCCAATTCTTGAGTATAAATTACCAATACACTAATGTTTTCATTACTGTGATTCGTTCACATTCGACTTAGTTTTTTAGAATGTAATTATTTATCTATCCAAGCTGTGTTCTGATTTTGAGGACTAGTTGAGAGTTGTAAAGTATCGAAGACTACTAAACAATAAGTTAGCTAGGTCGCACAAGCGGGATCGTTAACAAAGTGATACATGAGTTTCTTGACGATGCCATTAAAGACTGGACACTAGTTCTTAGTTACACGCGTAACGCAACAAACTCACATCACCGCATGTTAACTTACCACGCAGTTGGTTCTCCGGAGAACGAAGTATGGCACGGTTCACAACTGGTAATACAAGGACTTTGAAACTGGAACAATTACAGCACACATTTAGAATTGAACAACACCGTCGCTAAAAAAGGATGTAAAATAAAAGAGGTGATGAGTTACCAAACTTGTTCTTAATGACTCTGAATACTTGCAAGATCATGTCACAGAATATTTTAAATTGTTTTGCAACATTAGTTTCTTTAATAAGTTAGGTATACAAGAGAAAATTTCGGTTTAAGAGACATCTTAAACTGTTGTCGCTCAGCTCTCTTAAACCCTAAAATACCCGCAGTGTACCAAATAATTTGCATAATGCAGACTGGGAATGCGTTGGAAGATAGTTGTTCATAACACTAGAAAGATGTGAGTAACCCTATTTTGCAGTGAACCACTTACGCGATATTTTACCTATGAATCCAGGTGACCCGTATTCAATTTCAGATGGAGACTATGAATGTTAGAGAGTCTTGGCTTTAGGCACAATGAAAAGAGAGAGGAAACAGTTCAGCTTACCAGCGAAATATTTGCTACTTCTTGTTTTCCTTCAAAGATGGACTTCAGGAGATTATTTGTAAACATATCCTATAAATGAAATAATTACAAGGTGAATTTCGTTACCTTGTATTTAGCTTCAAATTCAGGAACTGGATTATGACTGATGTAGACACACAACAGTGAGACAAGAGCCATATTGGTTAGTGTCGGGCCAGTTGATGATAAATGACTAATAACATTTAGAAGAAAACCTTGGTTCTGAAAAATTACTTCTTAGACGAAGCCTTACCTTTTTCCACAGCTTTAAACACATAGAAGAGCTCCCTTTAAGCTCTTTGCCTTCACACGTAAAGAGCATGTATGACGCAGATCGACACCAAACATCAACCTGAATAAATAACTTTTAGCACAGTGCACAATCTTACTGTATCTGTATCTATCAACTGTGCCGAATCATCACAACAGAAATAAATGACTTCACTGAATAAATAAAATGAATAAACTGAGTTTTTATGGGGTCTAAAATGAATAATTGTGAGATTTAAATTTCATAATTTACCTCAATCTATAGCTCCTTATACTTGGGATCCATACCAGCTTTTTAGCAACAGCCAAACATGCAGACGGATTTCTGGCACATACAAAACGTACAAACTTGACACAATCGGAATATTTCTGGGAAGAACTACTTAAGCAATTGACAAAGTAGACAAATATCTCATCTATGCATTTCAGAAGGTTTTCTGCCTAATAAATAGAGAATAAAATGTACCTTCGTTTTCGCTTGCCATGACAATCTTTAAATCTTCTTCTAACCCGTTCATCCACGTACTAACGGACATCGTGGAGAACACGTTTGTTTAGTAACGACAGGCTATGTAGAGCCCTCCACTAATCCAAAATCCAATATATATCCAAATACTTTTTCACGAGCTAGTATAAGAAAATTGATTTCTTTGCGCTCTATTCTTGTTCTTTCGGTACGGTTCCAGGTGTTTGGTAGTGTCTAATGAATGGGAGTCTAGCCACTCGATTGTCTAATTCTAGTTGGTTAGCAGTTGGCTGTGAGTCCCATGTCCCATTATTTGAATGAATACGTTTGCTTCAGGGCAGTAGGGTGTAGTGAAACTCTTCTACGAAGAAAATACGATTTGTTAAAAATAAACATTATTGTACATCTTTTGTTTAACTGTACCAAAAACACTGCTACGACTTCTTACGCGCAACGTTCTCTTCGCGTAGCTGCCATCTTTCTCTATTTGCTGCTCCCCATGTAATGCCAACGTTCTCCTTCAATAAACAACTCAACCATAGATTTATTTTGTTTTGCTATTCGTGACGCGACCGTATGGAACATTTAGTTGTGAGCATAGTCAATATGGTATCATGTCTCGCTCACAGCAAGGGTTTCTGGATACCAGCAGCTACCACGTTAGCAGACCGGAGATCAATTAGTTGTAGTGTGTAAAAGAATAAGGAGAAAACTCTAATGCTAATAAGAGTAAGAAATCACGATTAAGTAAACAAATGGAAAATTTACTTTATTAATTAGTAGTGAAGATTGTGAGAGAGGAAAAAAGTGTAGACGGGTAAGAGGAAACAGAGATAATAGGCGAGACAGATTAAGTCAGTGACATGAGGAGATGGCAATAATAACAACTGGCAAGTCCCAAGGCATGCATCAGGCACAGTGAGCAAGGTGATAATCCGTGTGTGAGTACGTGTTTGTCTGTTCATAATGCTGTCCAATGAGCGGGCTGTGCTCAAGTTGGCTTGGTTGAAACGACTGTTAATGAGAAAAAGTGTGCACAAACCTAAGTATTCTCTCTTCGATCCGCAAATTTTCGAGTATTGACTCGGGGGGGAGGAGTGTTGGTGATGCATCGGTAAGATGCTCACGTTGGGATAGTTTGGTGTGCTCAAAATGTGTCACGCCATAATCAGATCATCTCTGATTCTCCTGTAACTTATTGAGAATGATCTCAAATTCTGGAGTCTATCTTCGCAAGTTTTATTTTTCAACCCTATCACCTAGTTAGTGGCTCTTTTCTGCACTTGGTCCAAGGGATTTATGTCTCTTAAGGAGAGGGGATACGACGAAGTTTCGAGCCTTAAGATGCGGGTGTGAATATGTCTTAAACAGCGCTGAGAATAATTCAGGGGTGATAGCACCCAGTTGTCTTCGCATAAAGTGAAGAGTTGCATTAACCTTGGCTGCGTCCCCAATATTGTTCGAGATGGTGTAGAGGCTTTCAGTGGTTATTGAACTGGGATTGCGCTCTGAGACATTGGGGAGCGGGCTTCCATGTGGATATAAGTCGACTCTGTCACGTGGGGCAGAATGTACATAACGTGACATTTCGAATGATTAAGTTTTAAACATTTTTCACTGCCCATTCCTTAATGGATGTAAGGTACTTTTGAAGCTCGGTCGAATCCTCTTAGCTTTTAATAGACCTCCAGATCTTTGCATCATCTGCGTAGACCATTGCTGGCGAGGTAACTGTGTTTAGCAGGTCGTTAATAAATATCAGGAAGAGAAGAGGACCTAAGATGGTTCCCTGTGAAACTCTCGATGTTAAGACTCGCCAACTCCCCTGCCAATACCCAATATCCATTATATTTTTCATGAGCTAGTATATACCAGTTGATTGATTTGAGCTCAATTCTTGTTATTTCGGTACAGTTTCAGGTATTTGGTAGCGATAGAGTCCACTGCATAGTCCCCAACTTTTCAGGTTTCCTATAAAACGACGGCAGGCTATAGGACTTCAAATTGCATTTTGTTTAAAATTCAATATTTAGGGAAGTTCCATTGATTTACACTCGCAGTTTATATGCATCGTCTAAATGATCCAAATTCCGAACATGGTAAGAATTAACAACAGAAACTTTGCGTTGCTGACTTTTGGTCTCATTTTTAACCATGCTTATTCTGACGAAGTTACTGGAAACCAGGTAAATCTTTTGTTCATAGTAAAATACGATACCATACTGTACTGTGCATTTCAAACCGTAATGAAGACGACGAGTTTTGTAAGCGAAGTTTGTTAAACAATCTCGTCTCCGAGTAAAACGTCCATTATCAGCTGAGCTGCGATATTTCACTGCTGTATTTGTTTGTTTCCTCCTGAATTCCGTTCTCTGAGGCTCTTAACACATATGTAATTAAAACTTCAGTTTTTTGGTTTCTGGAAGTTGACAAAAGGTTGTTCAGGTTATTTTCTTTTCTCAAATGATGTCTGCAAACACACTAACGGCGGGGGTTTTTGTTAATTATCGATGTGAGTTAAATTCTTCACCAAACAACTAAAGAAATGCCTTTCTCCGCTGTCTCTAAAATTGTGAGAAAAATGTTTATCGTTTCCGTTGACAGTGCCACCATTAGGCCAATACACAGTATTTTGAGATCCTTCATTGTAAGATTTCGTATGTGAATGGATGCTCATGTATAAAGCCTCTGTCTGTTATTCAAGTCTCGTCAGTAAAAACGTGTACATAGCTGAGACGTCAGAAAGGGTCAAGCATGAATTTCCAGAAATTCTGAGTAGCATTTCCTAAACTGAAAGGCATAAGCGAAAGTGCATACAGTCCAAAAAGAGTGACGATAGTGATTTTAAGAATATCGCCCTGAGCCATAGAAATTTTTCTCAGTGCTTTGACCAAATTAGTTTTTTGAAAAGGCGGTAATGATTTTAAGTCGCCGTAAAGTCGTCAGTGGGCAGCAACGAGTGGCTATCAAATGTGGTTTTCGTATTAGGTCACTGGTAATCACCAACTGGATTTCAATCATTGCCATTACTTCTGGGAACCGTATACAAGGGTATTACACATATTGCCCTGGGTGATTTGCAAATCCATCATGTGGTGTTGCTGAAACCTAAAATTATGTTTTGCTTCACCTGAAGCTTTTCTTTGATGGAATAAAAATTGATACTGAGGGTTTAAATGATCTGTATAGTCTGATCAGCGAGAACAATTCGCGCCTGCTGAGGAAGCTCTGAGAGAAAGAATTGTCTGGTTAGCCTAGGACCTCTTTCATATGTAGTGATCTACTTTTATAAAGAGAAGGCGACTGATTTAATAGAAACATTCATTATCCTAACGAATTGTACCAGAGATTGTGTTACCTCTTTGTTTATTACCATCTGTGCGCTTAAAATTTCCATTTACGTTGCTGACATTTAGGCTACACTGCCTCTGTAGTTTCGCCCCTCCTTTCTGGCACTGTTTCGTCATTCTCTCGATACCACGAAATCGCCAGCAAATTTATTCACTCGTATGGATTATTTTATCTTCTCTGTGACGTGCACGTTGATGGTCTTTAGTGGTGATCAGAGTCAATCTCGACACGAATCGCGCCAATACACATAAATAGCGAAATTTATGTTTCTTAGTAGTGTTGCGACTCCTTGTTGTTGAACAAGTATTTTAGTAGACTGGTTAGGCCTCCATGTTTTATAATGGACATTTAAAGTGTCATAAGGTGTGGAAATATCACTAGTTGTAACGCACCTTCTGAACTTGCGCAGTATTGTTTTTCACTACTGCAAAAAGCTGTGAAGGTGAGCTTGTCACGGTGTGCTCGTGGAAATTAGATTCTACATAGCAGAATCAGACATTCGAGTTATCAGACCAGTATGACATAAGTGACAAAATGGGGGCCTTGGAAAGTTTGACAGATTTGGTAATCATTTTGGCATAATAAAAATGTGAATGCAACCTGAAATCAAGGAAGAGGCTCAAAATTCATTGTTTTGTATACAAGGCCGCTTCAAGTTCACTAATAAAGATGTCATGGATATTCGGGTAAATGCATTAACTGGGCAAGGCGCGTATCTAAACTTCTAGAACAATTTTTCCCAAATCAGAATTCAATCTGAACCTAACATCGCGTACTTATTTATTAACCATTCCTTTTGTCGTTCAGTACATTATTTTGTGAGACAGAAGCCTTCAACTATTCAGCACAGACTGTACCGTTTGACATATTTTGTAATTTTGATATAACTTGTTTTCTTCCTTAAACTAGGACCGTTTTAATTAAGCACAGAACCGTGTTTTGATGCAATTTAATACGAGTCACTCAAAAACGCTTCTGTCGGTATACAAAATGTAGTCTGACCTGATAGATTAAACCTTGGTTCGTTAGCTCTAAGTTCAGATCATATGCTAGTGATCTCTTTGTTCATGGT